AGAATGATGAACACAGAATGAATGAATGCCATTCCTGATTGCCCATTAGCCTGTATATTGAAGTGTCTAAGGCAGAGTGACTAAGCCTTCCTTTATTTTTGTATATTCAGAAAAGATTTCAACAAATATAATTCTACCAGAACATTAAGTTAAATTTATCTCCTGAAACAACTTATTAGTCATCGAGACTCCAAGTCTGTGCTGAGTGCTAACCATTGACAAAGTGTAATGAGAGAAACAAACTCTGAGCTCATAACTGTCTCACAGAGTGTGGTTCTTACATCAAGATCCATTGGACCGTATGCCAAAAAAGCAGATTCCTAGGCCCAGGCCATGCTAGAGCATCAGAGCCTTCAGGGATAGAGCCAAGGAACCTGAACAGCTGAGCTCCGCAAGTCATTCATTTGCCCAAGTCTGAAAAACACCACTACACTCCAGGGCCGTTACCTACACCTTGCCCAGTCTGTAATGGAGCTTTCGTGGAAAAAGCATTAGACTCCCAATCCAAAATCCTTCTATTGGAACAATGGCTCTGCCATGTATTAGCCCTGTGGCCTTGGCCAAGTTGTTTCCTCTCCATAAAACAGAGATAATATGGTCTGATCATTAAGATTAGCTGCAAAAGTACAAAGCCTCTGGAGACATGTGCTTTTTTAAATGGGACCAGAGCATAAAGAGCAGCAAGTCTGCGAAGTTGGATGGGAAAAGTTTACACATCTATTTTTACTAACCTTTAACTGAAATTCACCATTTTCTTCAATTATGCATACAGCCAACAACCATAGTAGTATTAGCAGCACCTACAATCTTGATATCAATAGAAATTATATTTTCCCATCACATTATAGCTATTGCAAATATCTCAAAATATATTTTAAGCTCATTACAACTTTGAAAGTAGGGTAGTTATTAGACCTGCTGCTTTGATGCATTAATTTTAAAACCATCAAATATATATCATAAAAGCATCATATATCTCTATTCCACAACTTTTTAAACATATTCTGATCATCATATTTCAATATGATCGGCTCTTTGTAAACTCTTATGTATTTTGTTGTTTTTACTTGTAACTTTTACACATTCAAAAACAAGCTGATGGATAGATGGAAAATACGTGATAAAGCAAGCATAGTAAAATGTTAATGGTGGAAGCTAGGCAGTGGGCAGACAGATGTTCACTGTAAAATTCAACTTTTCTGTATGTTTGAATATTTTCATAATACAATGTTTGGAAAAAAAAATCTGCAAAGAGGTTGCTGAACTGTCAAAAGTATCTATGGCACACAAAAAGTTAGAAACCCCTGACCTAGAGGACTAGTGTCCTCAACCAGCTGGCCAATCCAGTGAGTTCTTTATCCAGGAGGCAAAAGTTCCCAAAGCCCCAGTGTCTCAATTCCAGTTAGGCTGGCAGCCTCTTGCCAGACTAAGATATCTAAAAAGTTTGCAGATCCAAAGTGGCCCAGCGGTGTTTTCTCCCACCCCAGAACTCCTGACTTTAATCTCAGACCTCACGGCTCTATAGAGAGGAAGATCACCCCCAAGATACCAATGCCAAGTGCCTGAGAATGCCTGCCAGCACTCTAAGCAGGGGTACTCCAGGCCCCTCCCAGGGCCTGGGCAGAGGAGGCATCCACAGACACCACACCTTCAGCCCCCCTGACCACACTGCCCTCAGGACTGCACCTGGCTACAGGGTCCCAGGAACCAAGCAGATCCCAAATCCCCTCCTCAGGGAGAGAGGGAGGGGAAGGGCCTCCTGCTCTCTCCCCTGGAGGCTGGCCACCGTGGTTCTGTCTTCCTTCTTGTGGTACTTCCAAAGAGTTCCTTTTTTAGACAGATCACCAATAATGACTGCTTCCTAACACTCACCACCTAATATACAAGACTTAGTTTCTCCATTTTGAAGAACGCCTTGCTCTCTGATCCTATTAAAGTCAAATCTCCTTTTCGTGCTCAAAGGCTCAGAAGTTCAGAGGTAGAAATGCACTTTTTCTATCCCAGAAGCATGGAGCAGCTCAGAAAGAGCTAAAGAGAAAATACCAGGGCCACATTTTAAGTGGGCAAGAAAGATAAAGTAAAGCATAGGGAAGGGGGAAAAAAATCACCTTATTTCATGGAAAAAATACACCATCTTGCCAACAAAGTAAATTGAAACTGTGATTATATACCAATTAAGCAAACAAATTAAGTCAAAAATGGAAATGCCAGGACATGTTCATGCTGCTGATAACCAAGTAAAGTGGCTCCATCTTTCTGGAAAGCAATCTGGCACTGAACAGCAGTTACAAGTATGTCTGTAATTTCACTCTTGGGAAAAGCTAAAAGGGCTTCTTTACAAATTGTGAAGAGCTAAACAATTGTAAGTCATTAATTCCCCAAAGATTATGTTAACCCAAGATGTCACCTCTCCCCCTTCCCCCATCCCATCCCCAGCATTCAGCAGCAGCATTTAGTTTCTGATACGGGCTCCCTGAAAATTGTCACCAGTTATCACAAATGGCAGAATATACCATCTTACTTATGTAAAAAAACCCAAAAAAGCCCAAAAACCTATGTACTTGCATGTGGACGTATATGAATATTTACAGACGCACAGAAAATGGCCTGGAAGGAGACATGCTAAACCGGGTCACCTCAGCTTCTAAGGAGGAGCACTGAATGAAGCAAGGTTGGACAAAGCCAAATTTTCACTTTTTACTCTGATTTCACTATCAGAGTGTTTCTATGTATTATTTGTGTACTTTACAAAATGTCCTTCCACTCATCAAAAAACGATTCCCAAATTAAGTTGGGAATTGCCCGTTTAGGTGCACCCTCCTGAACTCTAGTATTAGGGCAACTAATCTTCCTGAGTGATTATAAGGTTTCCTGGATTCCATTTACTAAATATGTTCTAACATTTTGGCACTATTATAAGATGATAACAATGGCTGGAAGACCCAGAAAATCTTAACCAAATGCCCTTCCTTGCAAGGGTATTATTAGAGAGGATGTGCACACAACAATGTGCTAGTGCAGATCATGTAAGACTGCTGGGCTCGGCCACGTGGAGCACCCTTTTCTCACAATCTAATTAGGTCTTATCTATGTGACCGATTTAGGTTTTCACACCTGCCTAATTTCATCCCTCCAATGACCAAATCCAAAGTTCAGATGCTATCACAAGAGAAAAAGGTTATATGAATGTGCACTCACTGGCCTGTACCAGGGCAGATGAAAACAGAAAAACCATAAGGGGCACTGTCCTCATGCTGGTACCACCTTAGTGCTTTTCTGGGCAGACAGTGGCCCTGTGTCATTACTCACTGTCCTTGGATCTATGCAAGCTTTAGCACTTCCTGTTCCCAGGCAGAAGAGAGTGAGCAGGAAGTGGCAAAGGCCTGCACCAGAAAAGCATCTTTTAGAAGACAAAACCTGGGCCTAAGCAATAGCATAAGACTCTGTAAAATCGAATCATGTCTCCATTTAGAAGTCTCTTCCTCCTTGCTGACTGGCCCCTTATGTAGTCTTCTGACTGCAACCGCATTGATCTGACTCCAATCAGATCAGCATGACTCAGTCAGTCAATAGCGCACAGGTGGTCAAATAAGCCTTCACTGTTACAATGGGAGTGGGGTCTTATTTGCAATTAAAAAAAAAAAGTATAAAAGCAGGGCTGGGTCAGCATGGTGGCTCATGCCTGTAATCCTAGCACTCTGCGAGGCCGAGGCGGGAGGATTGCTTGAGCTCAGGAGTTCAAGAGTAGCCTGAGCAAGAGCAAGACCCTGTCTCTACTATAAATAGAAAGAAATTAGCTGGGCACAGTGGCATGTGCCTGTAATCCCAGCTACATGGGAGGCTGAGGCAGGAGGATCGCTTGAGCCCAGGAGTTTGAGGTTGCTGTGAGCTAAGATGACACCATGGCACTCTACTCAGAGCAACAGAGTGAGACTCTGTCTCATTCATACATACATACATACATACATAAAAAAGCGGGGGCTGCAAGTCACCTATCATATTGAAAACCTGGACACAACTCCTGAGCCCCAAAACAGGGAAATTACTAAGGAAACTTACCTCTTTTCTTTCAAAGGCAAATCCCACTGAAACAAGACAAGAATTATAAAAAAGGAAAAAAAGCCTACAGCAGCATTGGAAAACAGAGAACAGTATAATAAAGGGACCAAAAACATAGAGGAATTTCTGAAAGAAATGAAGTAAATGGAATCAGATCAACAGAAAAGCTGATCGTGCCACACAGCCTGGTGACTTAACAGAGGAGAAGTGGCTGGGCCTCTCCAACCGGGCCTCAGAAACGGCCCAACAGTGGAGTGGCAACGGTTAGCATCGGAGGCAGGTGTGAGGCAGGCAGGGCAGGGCACAAAAGGCAGTCTCATTACATCAGGCACAGAGCTGGCTTCTCAGAGCTCTGCAAGTCCCAGTCAAACAAGTAAGGGCGAAAAAACCACAAACAGCAGAAAGACTCCAAATGACCACGATTTGCAGGGAGAATGTCTCCTTGGAAATTCCAAGAGAATCAACTAAAAAGCTATCAAAAAACAGAGTTCAGTAAGATGGCCAGATAAGATAAAGATTCAAAATGAATAACTGTTCTAAATACAAACTTTAATTGGTTAGGGGGAAAAAAAGATTTTTTTTTTCACAGTAACAACAAAAAAATATAATACAGCTGGAAATAAGTATTCATAAATTAAGACCCCTTTGAAGAAAATTGTGAAACCTTGTTGCAGAATTTGTTTTAAAAATCTGAGCAAGTGCAGAAGTGTCACGTTTCTGAGTAGGAAGACAATACTATAAAGACATCAATGTTCTCCAACTTGTACGTTTAAATTTAAATCTCCAAGCATTTCTTTTGGAAATCTGAAAAACTAATATTAAGAATTATCTGAAAGAACACAATCAATAATTTTTTAAAAATAAGAATGAAAACTTGCCCTATCAGATATCAAAATTTACTGCAAATCATAAAGAATATTATATTTGTATATTACAAGCACTACTGTAAAGAAAACAGTTTAACTTTGTTTAATACCAAATATTTCCCAAGTTTACTTTTCACACAATGCACTTTGGGGATAATGTATGGTTAAAAACAATATTCTACAAACAACTTGTTCGATAGTGCTCTAGATCATCCTAAAAGAAAAGTAATCAGCGGGACAAGGATGCCGGTCCTCTAGAAATTCAAGGACTGGTTGACAGTCTCTCCCCATGGATGAGGATGCAGGTCCTAATTTTCTTCTGGGAGCAGATTCTCTGATTTCATCTGGGCCTTCCTTATACTCTCCAAGTTCAGTTGTCGATACTTTCTTCTAAAAAAGCCACACTGAAACAGACAGAGGGGAAGTCCAATTACAGGCCAAAGGTATCCATCTGCTTTAGAAAACCATTATTCTGGTTGTTGCCTAGAAAACCCCTTACTCCTCCGCTTCTCATACCTCCCATTCCCTCCCACTACTTCCTTCGAATCTCTCCCTGATAATCCAATCCTTCAAGATCCGTCTTAAATGCCTGCCTTTCCTGGCGTTCATTCCCCAATCGGAGCCGGCTTTCCACCTTTCTCTGAACCCCCAGAGCACCTGAACCTTTTAAATTTAACTAATTCTGAAAAGTACTATAATTTTGGCTGTACTGGATCTAATCTCCTTTATGCAAAAATACTCAGTACAGCCTATTATGCTGAGGATGAAGATCAAGTATGGCCTCCTTCTACATCAAGAAGCTCACAATCTAGTAGAAAGAGAAGTAATTACAATACTGTGTGAGGACTGCCATTTGGAAGGGTTTCCTTAAGGGAGCTCACAGGAAAAGCACATAACTCAGTGCAGGGGACTCAGGAATCTCTGGGCTGAGTTTTCAGGGAAGAGTGTACACCAGGTGAAAAAGCGGGGAAGGGCTTTTCTGGCAAGGAGAACAGACTATGCACAAGCAGAGATGCATGAACCTATTCAGGGAACAGTTCAACTTGTTTGGAAGAAAAAAGCAAGACTTAATGGCAGAGGGGGGTAAAGGCCAGAGAACAGAGGGTCTTGAATAGCAGTAAAAGAGTTTGAAGATTAAGACAGGGGAAGGCAAGGAAAGGATTTAAATAGGGGAATGATAATCAGATCTGTTTTAGGAAGAGCTCTCTGTAGTCCATAATTAAATTTGATTTTTTTTTCAGACAGAAATTGTCTTATTCATTTGCCTAAATACGGAATGTGTGGCTGAAGGAAGAGGGAAAAGGGGCCACAAGGCCAGAGTAGCTGCTCTATGTTAGGGGATGGCTGTCCTAGGGAGTCTGTGCTCAAACCAGAGCCCAGTCCTCTCCCGCCATTATGAATGTGAGTAGAACTGACCTTGAACAGGATGACTATAATCACGATCAAAACCAGAAGGCCACCAACACTGCTTCCAATGATGATGGGCAAAGAATGGTACTCCTCATTTGTCACGAAGATGACAGTGATCTAGACAAGACAGGGATCATCCAATAAGTCAGGCAAAGCAAACGAAGAAAAAATTCTATGTTATTTTAAGGAGCAAACTATGAGGACGTGCCAACATCCTGTGTATTGATCAAGACTGATGACAGTAAAAAGTTAAACACTCTGTGATGCAGCATTTTAAATAATGTAAAATTATCTCATCACCAAAATAGTTTATAGGAAACTATTCTGGTTTCTTATCTAGAAGAGCTAGGTCTGTTAGGAGCATCGTGACCTTCTGTTAAAGATGCTCTGACAGCTTGACTGAGGGTCCCGAGGGATCAGGCCTGGGGTGGGGAGTTTAAAGAACACTGGACTGACAGACAGCAAATCAAGATCCTACATGCAGCTATGCCACTGTATGGCCTTGAGCCCCATGTTCATTCTCTTCAAAATGATGACTTATTTTAAGTGATCTCCAAGTCCTTTCCAACTCTGTTCTGACAGCTCTTTTTGGTCTGGCACAGATCCCTGAAGTCTTTGGTAATACATTTTCCCCTCCACAAAATATCTGACAAAGGCACTGGTTGTTCTTTAATAGTCTAAAACTGTATGTTACCTCAGGGACATGACAATAAACGCAAAATTGCACCCATGTGTCACACTTGTAGAGTTCTTCTATTACACATCATCCCCAAGTTTCACTTTCTAGACTTCAGTTTGGCCCTCTCAATTTCAGGAGTCTAAATCTCTCCTCTTCCTGACAGGCTTCAGCTGGGAAGTCCAGGGGATGTGCTTCCCAACTGAGACCTGGGTACCACTCTCCCAGGAAATGAAAACACGTGCCAAGGTGACAGTAGTGTAACAGGCCAGATTTGAGTAGAAGAAATACACCTATTTCTTAAAGCCTTTTCCCTTTTACCTCTTCGAAACAGGTTCCCAAAAGTGCCCCAAAGCTGCTCTGGTAGAGGTTAAGGGAGAAGCAGGACACAGCATAATACTGCTTGTAGCAAACATCGATGGTGGCCTTCTCGGTAGCCATTCTCAGCTTTAAGATTTTGTTCAGGAATCATGATCAGTCTAATCAGCTAATCACGACAAAGCTGTTCTCCTTCGCCAGTGACTGACATGAGATCCCGTTCTCACCAAGATGTAAGGGGCTGTCTCCTGGGAGCTTTTAGGAAAACTTTCCTCCCTAAAAAGGGAAGGCACATGAAGAAAAGTCCTTTTGCTACTGACCTCTTGCTTCCTATTGTGGATTCTGCCAAATGAAAATACAGCACTGGGAGATGTGGCAACTTTGTGCTGGCCACGAGGGAAGGTATCAGCATCACCCAGATGGCAGTGTACAAGGACCAAAGGAGCCAGGCCATTGACCCTGAGCCTGCCTCCCTCACTAGATAAACAGCATATTCCCTTCTGGCACATTAGCCGGATTTTCACTTTCTTACGGCTGAACTGCATTTGGATACACAGCTATTTATACTCATAGATTCACTTAAGTCAGGTGCTTATTGACAGGAACTACTTAATACTTTGCTTAAGATACTGGATTTAAAGAAAGGAATTTTGGGGAATCTATGCTATAGATATACAAGCATCAGCAAATAAATGAAGGAAACATACAAATAAATGTAAAATGTGCATATAAGAAACTGTTAACAGTAACTCCCCTTGGGAAGAGAGAGTTAGGGGTGTGTGACGGAATCATTATTTTCCATTTGGTATCTTTCTGTATGGCTTGGATTTTCTTGTTATTATTTTTTTAAAGCTGGGCAATATGATAAGGGGCACTTTTATTTCTTTCATATTGGTTTCTGTATCAGAAATACAGTACTTAAAAATAAATGTTATTTTGACATCTCTAGAGAATTGCTCCTTTCAAGTGTTTAACAGAGAAACACCTTTGTAATCTACCTTCAGAATGTTATGACATGTTTCTTTCTATAAAAGGCGTGCTTTCTTAAAGATACATCAGAAACTGTTAAAGAAAAAAGGAGAGAACTGCTCCTTTCTCCTTCTCTAGGGAGGAAAACAGAGGACCTTATCTTTAGCAATCCAGATTCCCTCTAGTGAAGAATCATGCCTAACCGCAGAGCTCGCAGATAAGCCAGGCATGGTGGCACATGCATGTAGTCCCAGCTACTCAGGAAGATGGGGTGGGAGATGGCTTGAGCCCAGGAGTTTGAGGCTGAAGTGAGCTACGGTGGCACCACTGCATTCCAGCCTGGATAACAGAGTGAGACCCCGTCTCTTTAAAAAACAAAAAGAGCTCACAAATAGATCATCTCTAAAACCATGTCCAAGCAAGTGTCAACAAAATGAAAACACAGAGTAACACACACAGGAGCATTTAGCCTATAAATCACAGATGTCAGTTTGACTTCTGGTCATACCTCTGCAAAATTTCCAAGAGTTCCAGTACTTAGTCTAAGTCTTACAAAAGAATTATGCATTCCTGAGTACTGCAACTGTTTAATACTGTCACCAAACACTGACACTGCACACTAGGAAGAGAGATAATGTATACAAAAAATCATTTCTCACTTAGGAAATTTTTTTTAAAAATCAATACATTTTCAAACCAAAGTATATACTGCAGTTGATTCCAGCCTAGTTACTTTAACTCAGACCTCTTCAGCTTAGGCCTCTTATTCAACTGTCTTATTTCACAGGCAAAAAACTGACGCTGACTCCCTGAAGGTCACAAAGGCAGTCAGTGGCAGAGCCAAGATCAGAAGAGATAAGATTGAAAATAGGAAGAGAGCAACAGAGGAGTGCCTGTGCAGGGACTCCAAGGCTGGGCAGTTTTCCCAGGACACTACCCAGAAACCAGAAAACAGCCACGGCTCACCTTAGTTCTGTGGCTCTCTGCATTCAGCCCTTCGTACAGAGATCTGTTGAAAGATATTTCACCAAGGACCTGCAGTTCAGTTATATCCCTTGGTAACTATAAGATGGGAGAAGGAAGGAGGGAAACAAAACACATTTTAAACACAGACTCACCGGTTTTGGACTCACCACCTTTCCCTTTAAAGGTATTCCTTCTCTAGTAGTCTTTAGCCTACTAATGGCCCAACATCCACAAAGTTACCCCAACAAGAAATCTGCAGTTATTCTTCAGCTTCTTTTCTTTTACCCTTTACCTTGTGCCACAACCCCCACACAAAGTCAGTTCTTTACAATTCTTTTCTTTTTCCTTAATTCTGTCTTGCACTTGTCCCTTTTTTCTCCACCCCCATTGCTACCTCTTTACTTGGGACCTGCATGTCTTTCACCTGAATCATTGCAAGATATTAAACTAGATCACTAGTTGCCATGTTAGAATAAGTGATCGGGGAAGGTCTCTCTAAGAATGTAACATATGAACTAAACTTAAGAAGAAACCACCCAGTGAAGATCTAGGGGAAGAGCAGTGTTACACACAACAACAGAAAGTTCAAAAGTCCTGTGGCCAGAATAATATCAGCAAGCCAGAACAGAAAGGACAAAATAAACTAAGTAGAAGAAAGGGGCAGTGGGAAGGGAAAGGTGAGTATGAGGAGATAAGTCAGAGAATTAAGCAGAGACCAGATCAGGTAGTGCCCTGCAGGCCATGAAAAAAGTATGGATTATAGTCTAAGTGTGTTTGAAAGCCACTTTTTTCTTTTTTTTTTAAGCAGAGGAGTGGCACAATCTAATGCTTGCTTTTACAAGATGGATAGCTGTTATGTAAAGAATTATTGGTAGAGGGTGTGGGAAAAGCAGAGGCAAGAAAGCAAGTCCAAGTTTACTGCAAGAGCCCCAGCAAGAGACAGTGGCCTGAATTATAACAATAGCACTGGAAATGGACAGAAGTGAATGGATTTAGGATATATTCCGGCAGTATGATGGCAGGGCTTGCTGCTGTAATAGATATGGGGATGTAGGAAAGGGAAGAGTCACAGGTAATTCCCAGAATTCCTGGTACTGTAACTGGAGTAAATCACCCTACTGAGGGCAGCTTGAGTAACTGGCTAAGGAACAAGATAGGGCAGAAGGGGCACCAAAAGACCTACTTTGGATATGTTATATTTTAGATGCTGTTGTCTTTTCTAGGGGAGATGCCATGAACAGCTGGATAATCAAATCTGGAGCATTTCACAGTCTTAAGTACCTGCTTAGCATGACCCAAGGAGATCTCTGCAGCCACAGTTATATTTTCTTTATCTGAAGTGATGGCACAGTTCACTGAATGCCATTCTTCCACATGCTGGAAAAGGAAAGTCTGGTTAGGACAATTCGTATGGAAAGGCTGAAATTTTTAAAACTTGGTACACAGAGCCCTAAGGCCCCACAGTAAAAGGTGTGAGCAGTTTTAGCGCTCACCTTGGCCCAAGCAAAGCTCCAACCCCGGCAAATGTGACCAGTGACGAAGCTAAGGAGGAGGGCCTCGGGGGCCGCCCTGCCTTGGCCTGCAGGGGGTAACCCTACAAAGTAGCATCCTGGCCTCCCCTGCCACCCGCTTCGGGCTCCGACCTCCCTCAGCCGCTCCGGACGGCTGCGCTTACCTGAACCGGACTGTTCCCACACGTGAGCTTCTGACTCCGGGTGCACACAGTGGAGGCCTGAAACGAGAGCCATTCCCGCGACGAACTTAAGCAAACCAAACCCCCATAGTTTTCTGCCCTCCCGGCTCCCGCAAGACCCCCGGCGAGACGCGCATGCGTGCGGCCGGGCGCTAGGACCCAGTGAACAGGTGGACGTGTACGCATTGTGCGGAAGTCTCGCGGTGCTTGGATTTGAACCGCTTGGCGGGTGGCAGCCATGGAGGCTTCACTCCCGCGACCCGGGAGCCGGCTTTTCCGAACGTATGGGGCTGCGGGCGGCGGGAGGCCGCGGCTGCGACCGGTCCGCGCAACCGCGCAGTGGTTCCCGCCGCAGGACCAGAAGCGTTTCTTTAGCAGCAGCGGCAGCGGCAGCAGCGAGACCAGCATCGGCGGCCTTTCGCAGTCTGTCGCTTCCGATGATCCTGACGACCCGGACTTCTCTGGCAGCCCGGGTGGTCGACGGCGGAAGCGCCCTGGCGGCCGAGTCCCAGAGGACAGCCCGAACCAGTCCGTGACCCCAAAACGCCTGAGGCTGCGACCTCGGCCCCCGCAGAAGTGCAGCACTCCCTGCGGCCCCCTCCGACCGCCGCCCTTACCCAGCCGCACCCCGGAGCCCCTCAGCCCGGACCTCAGCGTGTGCAGCCGGCCCACGAACTGCGACGAGCTGGGCACCAGCGCCTCCCTATTCAGCTGCCCGGCCTCGCCCGGCCCCGAGTCCCCAGCACCAAGGGGCAGTATCATCTCCACTTGCCCCTCCGCCTCTCTGGATGCAGCATCTGCAGTCCCGAACGGCTTCCACTTCCCGGAAACCTCCCTGGACCAAGCATCTCTCCCCTGCTCCCAGAGGGCAGCAGCAGAAGGAGGCAGGTTCACCAGGATGGTCCACCAAGCCCGTGCCAGCCTCAGGTCAGCTCTCTTTGGTTTGAGCCTTATGGACTCTGGGAACTCTGAGGATGCTGAGTTTGGGGCAGACGGGAAGAATATGAAGGAGGCCTGCTGTGGAAGGGAACTAGTGGGAAACAGACTGGAGTGCCCAGGTCCATCAAGAACAGGTAAGAAGAGGGCCACAGACCAGGACTCTTGTCGAGAGATTGGGTCTCAAGGGGCTGTCCAAATAGAATATAAGGAGGCCACTGGATGTACTGTACCTGGGGGAATCGACAGGCCTGAGAGAACTGGACGACGACAGAAAAGGAAACATCAGGAGGCAGTGGAAAACTCCCTCCTCCATTACCACCAGTTTAAAAAGGGCCAAAAGATGGGAAAAGATCCATTCCTCACCCAGGACGTGACTCATGTACAGAATGCCTGCCCTTGGACCAAAACCAGGGCCTCATTCAGTTTTCATAAGAAGAAAATTGTGACTGATGTGTCAGAGGTATGCAGCAGCTATACCATTGCCAGTTCTCTCTCTGGGTCCCTCATATCAGAATATTCAAACCCTCCTGTCATGAACAGAACAAATGGTGCTCTGTCCTCTAGGCACTCCTCTTCTATGTACTTGCTAAGCCCCTTAAAGACTCTACGTATTGCAAACAAAAAGGCATCTGATGCTGAAAAGGTTTATGGGGAATGCAATCAGGAAGGACCCATCCCCTTTAGCCATTTTTTTTCCACAGAAAAACTGGAACACTGTGAGAAGATTGGGGAAGGGGTGTTTGGTGAAGTGTTTAAAACAATTACTGATTGCACACCTGTAGCCCTAAAAATCATTGCTATTGAAGGACCAGATTTAGTCAATGGATCCCATCAGAAAACCTTTGAGGAAATCCTGCCAGAGATCATCATCTCCAAAGAGCTGAGTCTCTTGTCTGATGAGGTATGCAACCGCACAGAAGGCTTTATTGGGCTGAACTCAGTGCACTGCGTTCAAGGGTCCTACCCTCCATTGCTCCTCAAAGCCTGGGATCAGTATAACTCAACCAAAGGGTCTGCAAATGACCGGCCTGACATTTTTAAGGAAGACCAACTCTTCATTGTGTTGGAATTTGAGTTTGGAGGGATTGACTTAGAGCAAATGAAAAAGAAGTTGTCTTCCATGGCTACTGCAAAGAGCATTCTACACCAGATCACAGCATCCCTCGCAGTGGCAGAGGCATCACTGCACTTTGAGCACCGAGACTTACATTGGGGGAATGTGCTCCTAAAAAAAACCAGCCTCAAAGAGGTCCCCTACACCCTCAATGGGAAGACAAACACCATCCCCACCTGTGGGCTGCAAGTCAACATCATTGACTACACCCTGTCACGCTTAGAACGGGATGGGATTGTGGTTTTCTGTGACATTTCCATGGATGAGGACCTATTTACAGGTGAAGGTGACTACCAGTTTGAGATCTACAGGCTCATGCGTAAGGAGAATAACAACTGCTGGGGTGAATATCACCCTTATAATAATGTGCTCTGGCTACATTACCTCACAGATAAGATTCTGAAACAAATGACCTTCAAGACCAAATGTAACACCTATGCCATGAAGCAAATGAAGAGAAAGATCCAGTATTTCCATAAGACAATGCTGAACTTCAGCTCTGCCACTGACCTGCTCTGCCAACACAGTCTATTTCAGTGAGCCAAGTGTGTCTTTCTGCCTCACAATAAGAGGACACTGGTCTTAAAGCCTCTGGTGCTGTTTCAACATCTATCCACAAGGCAGGATGGAATTCCCATTCTCACATGTTTCCAATCAGCTTTGCAAACAGAATTTTATTTCCAAACGGAAACAAGTGTCTGTTGAAATATTTAAACTTGCTGTCACAAATGTTTTGAAAAAGTAAACTGCATGTGAGAACAAATGTTTATAACTTAAAAGCCTTCTTTCTAGTAGTCAGCAGAGACCATTCTGTAAATTCCTTTCCAGATTTTCATTTTTGAACCACTTTATGTAGGGGGGAGGGTGGAAATCAAGAAAGCTCAGGCCTCAGCTATCATACTGATCAGAGTGTGTTGCTTTGGGTATCAAGGCTGGCTTTGGGAACCAGACTACAAATGAGTCAACTGAAAACAAAGAGGGTATAGCAAAGCAGAGACCAAAAAAGACAGGCTAGAGGAAGAGGAAAGGAAGATAGTAGACAATTTATAGGGGAAATGTGAGAAATGTCACATGTTTATCAAGCTCACGAATCATGTAGAGATGCAGAATTTATTGATTTTTCAAAGGGAAAACAAATGTTTCCATGGCTACTGAAAAGGTTGGAATAAGGTTGCTTATTTTTCATGAAGGGGAAGAAAACTGAAATGTTGCTTTAAGACCTGAGTAGTTAATATTTCTTGTGGACATGACTTTGGAAATTTACACCTGATGTTTTCCTGTGGTTAATTTGTCTTTACTCCCTTTCTAGTACTCTAGTTTTTATTCCTCTGAGAATCCATAGTCATTCTGGAAAGAGACATGATCATGATAAAGAATAGCCTTACAGTACCTGAGTCTTCCTGAGGTTCTTCACTCTTACAATCTGGAGACCTAGTACTTTGATTGGAACACAAATTTGCAACTGGAATTCAGCTCCAAAGAGATTTTCCCCATGTATCTGCAAATTGGAGAGTAAGAAGTCAGGCTGGTGACGCTTTGCACCTGTAGCTTTGCAGCGATAATCACTAAGCACTTACAGTGAGGGGGAATTCTTTGTGCTCAGAAAGCCCCTGGCTTGTGTTCATGTACATTATTGATGGTCTGCAATTGAGAGGACATGTGTTAGGCCTCAAGGTCTCCTCGTTTTGAATAAACTTGAATGCTAGCAATTGTATACACTAGGACAGAGGGCACCAGATCCTTCAGGGGAATCAAAGGTGAATGTCAAAATGTAAAGTGGTTGTAGGGAAGATGGGATGAGGTGGAATATTTGAGTTTTGTATAGTAGGGCTGGTTCATTTTCTGATCATCCCATCTCAGAGTGGCCTTACTGTTCTCCCTCCTTCCCAGTCCCCCAGCCCCTCTCTTCTTCCCTCCATAGCATGTAAGTTCCCTTTTGTAGCAAGACTAGTTGGTACTGCTCCTTTGATGACCACTGTGGGATTCCTGGGACCCAACCGTTAGTGCCCTAGAGATCAGTGTCGGAGCCTGGGTTCTAAGCAGCCTCCTGTCAGAGAAAAACAATGCCCACATCCATCCCGACCACCAGTTCCATCCACAGGAGAGAATACCCAAATCTGTCTCCCAGGCATGGAGTCACACTGGTCTTGGCCCCTTGGGAGTACTTACTTGGAAAGAACTGCAATGAAGGCATGCCTGAATGGAAGGCTGTGGGTCTCTCTGGCCAAAGACCTTCTTTCATTGGAACTAGGAATAAGAACACTAATTCACAGCACACCTGCTTTGTATATAATAGGTGCTGCTTTGCCTTGGTTGCCCAGGGTCATGGGGGCTGAGGGAGTCAGATTAGAAAAGCCTCTCCGAGATAAGCAATTAGAGCACAGAAGAATCACTAGAAGTCCACACTCAGAAAAACACTGATTTTAAAAGGGTTTCTGAACCTCCACACTATTGACATTTTGAGCCAGTTAATTCTTGGGTTGTGGGGCCTGTCCTGTACTGTTCTATGTGATGTCTAGCAGTATCCCTGGTTTCTACCCTGGTTTCTACCCACTAGATGCCAGTAGCACTCCCCCCAAGTCATGGCAATCAAAATTTTCTACAGAATCAGCCCCATTTGAGAACCTGTTCCCAACACCATTCCTCACCTTGCCCCTAAACATGGAGGTTTTGCAGATGACAGAGCGATTCAAAAGTTAAATGAACCAGACCTAGAACTCCAATCTAAGGCTCACTCTACCAGACTGTACCACAGTTTTACTTTATGTGTGAATAAAAGAATTAAATATCTGCTAACAAGAACACAAGACCGAGTCACTGCCTTCTTTGGGCTCACTGAGGTTTCCCCTCTTCCTGGGCAGAAAGGGGGCCAGCATGCATGTGGGAGGGAGATTTCTTCTGGGGTCACAGACACAGGCACTACTTACTTGGTAATAGTCACAGTGATGTCTGCTGTCCTGTTTGGAAAGGCGCTCTCCTCTAGCTGCCAAACTACTGAAACATTTGCCTATTTTAAATGGGAGAAAATTGTCACTTGATTCCTCTCTCTATACCACCCACAATTCAAACTGCTCAATACTAGCAAAACACCCAGGAAACAATTCCTATTCCTCACATTTTCGTAGCACAGCGTACTTCCACATCCATTATTTCATTTAAACCTCACAATTCAAATATGGAGTAAGCAGGGCAGACTGCTTTATTCCCCCTTCACAGTTGAGGAAACCACTTCAGAGATTTCCCACAGCAGCACAAAGATCATCAGTGGCAGCACAGGGACTCACCTCAGGGCTGACAACTTTTGGTCTGATGAGCCTTCCATACTACCCACAACTTCACTCTACTGCGCTGACGTGAGCCCACAGTTGAGCTGCAGCTGTATACTGGAAAGCCGTCTCCCAGCCCCACTACTCCCTACTTGCAGAGCAAACCTAGTGGTTCTAAGCACCACTAGCACTGACTACAGAAAAGGGAAGTGTAGAAACCGCAACTGAGAGATTCAAATGAGCCTGGGTAGACTGAGTTCTACAAGGAGAAAAAAAAAGACAAAAAACCAGAGACTGGGATGCAGAAGGTCCCACCTCCAGGGGAGTGAGAAAAGCCAACCAATCAAAACAGACTCACAGAGGACCGCTTGAGTACGGGGTGACCAATCTTGCAGTTCATGACCAGCATAGAAGCAACTGGCTTAGGGTCATCACACTGAATGTTTGGAGAGGGAGGCTGTGAACACAGAAGAAGACACCCTTTTTAAAGAGCAAAAAATGCAATTTGGCAAACATTCACTGATTTTCCTACATGCCAGACACCCAGAACACAAGTAAGTCAGACTTGGTCCCTCTCTTCCTCACCAGCTGGGCAGGAGGGTTCGGTAGTGGGTTCTTGAGGGAGTTAAACACAGGCCTAAGGGGTGCTTCTGCAAGACAGGTACAAGAGTAGCGGTGGAGAAAGAAACGAATCCCAACTAGGAGAATCTGTACAGTGTTCCCGGGAAGGAGACATTCGAACTGGGCCTTGGAGCCCGGCAAACTTAACACACTGAGACGGGCTGGAAGGCCAGCATGTGCCAAGCACTGCCACGCAGTCTTTCTCAACCAGGGCTCCTCATCTGGACCACTGAGTACAGACAATGATTGGAGTGGCTATTAATTCTCCCAAGGATGCTCTATCACTAGTTCCCTTCTAGCTGCATAGAATTTCATTCGTGTAATGGATGCTGTCCTATCCCAAACAGCCTAAGATGACCAGGGCCAAACCTATAGTTTGACAAAGTCAGGTTTATTGACTCATTGCAATGAGGAAAACTGCACTGTGATGTGTCTCACCAAAGAGAAAAAGAGTTATTAAAGGATTCTGGCGAAGGGTGGAGTTCAGGTGAAATGCAAATCAGTGTTTTGATGGCCTGAAAGCAAAGCAGGGGTGTGTGTAAAGGGCTCGATCGACATCAGGGCTGGACTGCAAAATAGACCCAGGGCCCGCCTCCTTGGAAACTATTAACCTAGGGTGGAGAGCTGTGTCCAGAAACACGACCCGAGGCTCTATACCTCAGATGAAATTGAGACTGCTTCTCTTTGTTAAAGTGACCTGGATTCTCCAGGCAAGAGTGAGATGGCTTCATGATTACTGACAGAATTTCAAACAGCAAAATTTCTGATCATCTATGATTTTAGAGAACAAAATTTCTCTGTGTTGTGATACTCTACAGCTGTAAGGTGTCCTTGGGAGAAAGACTGTTTTCCTAGCATCTTTGCAGCTGGCTTTGTGCCTGTGATCCCAGCCTGGGGAATGGCAGGGAAGATTTTTTATTTTCCCTGTCCAAGCTAATTTTTGCTTTCTCAATGCCTTAAGGCACTGAGAGCTTATTTATCTCTCAGAACCCTGGCTAAGAAAGGTTGCATGTAGGGATGGGTGATCGTGCAGCGAAATGGTGCCACTGAAGGTTTTTAGAACAGAGAATGGATCTGCAGCATACGGCCGGACTGAAGGGGGTTCATCTAGCTACTCACCACTTACTGGATGGACCAGCAGGAGGCTGGAAGCAGGGACTCCAGTTAGGAAGTTGCCGTAGAAAAGCAGGCATGCAGGGAGGGAAGGGTATGAGTATCCTGTTTGCAAAGCTGCCATCGTAGTTACCTTTTGTATCCTCTTAAACTGTAAGTTTCTGGGGTAATTCAAAGTCATGCTTGTCATGTAGGAATCTTCCCCAGAGTTAGTTAGGTTAATGTTCATGGTCAGCTCCTTCGTGAGACCCACCACCAATTCCTGCCTGCACAGTGTACAGATAAAAAGTGTTACCAGTTTATTTACTCCGTAAAAACTTCAATGCAATAGAATAGCACATTCTTAACTAACTTCTTAGATAAGTTGCCTAAGGCAGTGGTTCCCAACCTTTTTGGCATCAAGGACCGGTTTCATGGAAGACAATTTTTCCACAGACTGGTAGGCAGAGGGGGAAAATGGTTTTGGGATGATCCAAGCGCATTACATTTATTGTGCAGTCAAACCTCTCTGCCGATGATAATGTGTATTTGCAGCCGCTCCCCAGCACTAGCATCACCGCCTCAGCTCCACCTCAGACCATCAGGCATTAGATTCTCATAACGAGCGCGCAACCTGGATCCCTCGCAGGCGCAGTTTACAGTATCTGCGCTCCTTTGAGAATCTAATGCTGCTGCTGATCTGACAGGAGGCGGAGCTTATGCAGTGATGCGAGCGATGGGGAGCAGCTGTAAATACAGATGAAGCTTCGCTTGCTCACCCACCGCAGCGTCCACCACTCACCTCCTGTGCAGCCCAGTTCCTAACAGGCCAGAGACCAGTACCAGTCCGTGGCCTGGGGTTAGGGGACTGCAGGCCTAAGGGATACATCTAGCCTAGACTTTCTTCCCCTTGACATAAGCAGATACCTGGACTGCCACCCCCATCTCAGTTGCTGCATGAGATGATGATAATGGCTGCCATTCATTTAGTGTTTACCATGTGCCAAGGACTGTGCTTCACATGCTCAATTAGTCCTCATAGTAACCCTATGAAATAGTCCAGCCACTCTCCATTTCATAGACGAGGAAACAGAAGCCAAGAGAGGCTAATTAAATTGCTTGAGGTCTAGCAGCCTCCAAAGAGTGGGAGCATTGGATCCAAATCCTCTTTCTAGCACCATCCCTGTGACCCTAGGCAAGGTACTCCATGACACAAATCCATCCATTCCACAAATATGTATGCGGCACCTTCTGTTGGCTGGCATACTGTTCAGCACTGGAGACCAGTGTGCACAAGACACCCTGTCCTGCCTTCGCAAGAGAACCTCTTTCTTGGCCTCAGCTTTCCCGCCCACAAAAATCATTCAGATCCTTCCCATTTAAAGGCTATCATTTAAGACATGAGTCCACTCAGCCTGGAGAAGAAAAGACTTGGGTATAGGTGAGAGCTTTCTTCAGACTGCTGAGGTATTATGGGACCCAGAGTGCAAAACCACCATCTGTAGTCCCTGTAGTTGAGAGCTACAGGAAAACATATTAAAAATACAAAGAAAACTTTTTAACCATCTGAAATGTTCACAGATGGAATGGGCATATCTGGGAAGTAATGCAACTTGTGTTTTGTTGTTATTGTTTTGGTTTTGTACTTATTGTTTGCTGTTGTTATTTATTGTTTTGTTGAGACGAGGATGGACTGATTGGAGGCAGAGACAGAGCCTGTTGTGGGCATCCATCTGAGAGATGACACATGCCTGAGATAAGACACTAGCAGTGGAGATGGAAAGACATCAGAGATGGTAAGGCAAGAGAGCGAGCAAGAGACACGCGTCAAGGATGAGTTCTGAGCTTCCAGCGTGGATGGCTGAGCAGTGCTGTCCACTGAGGGAGAGAACGCGGAGGAAGACCCAAGGGTGGGAGAAGATGAGTTCAGTCTGGGACGTGAGATGTGCCCACAGGATGACCAGGTAGAGGTACTGAAGTATCGGTTAGAAATACTGTTCTAGAGCCCAGGAGAGCGATCTGAGTGTCATCAGAATAGTTAACGGGGTTTTTTTTAACCTGAAGTGCAGGGACAGTTTCAGAGGATCCGGAATGCAAACATTTATGTATGTTTGCATTCTCCTCTAGGGAGAGGAGTCTGTAGTTTTTATTCGATTCTTTAGGGGATCCATGTCCACAGAAAGGTCAAAAACCACTGAGACAGCTGGATGCCGACAATTGGGTTCAGTAACAGTACTTTTGAAATAGAAGAGATTGTCTGTAATGTACACTAGGGGGCGATGTTGGGCAAGCTGTGTGTGCTGTATCTGTGTTTTGCGAGTAGTTGGCGGGGAGGGCGGTTCCTGGCTGCAGTTGACGCCCTGTTGGAAACAGCTGCGCCTGCTGGTTAAGCTGGATTCCGACGCACTCGGAAGTCTTGAATTGGTCCTGCCAGTTTCTACGAGAGGGCTCACCAGGACCTGTGTTCTTCCCCATAGATGCCAACTCTGGCCAGCTGGCCATCAGTATCATGATACACACACGGCACTAGTAGCTGCGGGGCGGGGCGGGGGGTGCATTTTAAGGCCATCACAGCTACAACCAAAACTCATATTCTTGGCAACCCCATCATTCTAGAATTCAGTGTGGCCCAACAGAACTTTTGCAGGGACGGAAATAGTCTGTATCTGTGCTGCCCAACACCACCAGCCCGTATGTGGGTATTGAGCCTTTAAAATGTGGCTAGCGTGACTGAGGAGCTAAATTTTTAACCGTGTTTAATTTTAATTCATTTAAATTTAAATAGCCAAACCTGACTAGTGACTAGTGTTGGACGGTGCAGTTCTAGATGCTCAGGCTGTGACCCCTCTCATTCTCTCGCTCCCCAGATTCACTGTCAGGAAATCCTACGGGCTCTAACTTCAGAATATGACCACTTTCATGGCTATGACCTGGCTCCAAGCCACCATCACCTCGCACTTGAGTCACTGCAGTAGGAGTCATCGCTACCTCCCTGCCCCCACCTCTGCTCCTATGGTCTGTTCTCAACACGGCAGAGAGAAGAACCCGCCAAAAAGCAAGGTAGGGCCCCCCGGCCCCCCAACCCAAAAGAAAAACCCCTTTGAAGGCCCGAAAAACCCCCCTGGAACCTCCCCCCCTCCCACTCCCCCATCACCCACCCCCCTCGCTCCACCGCAGCCACACTGGGTCCTTGCCCACCTCCCACCCGCCAGCCAGGCTCCCATCCCAGGGCATCTGCGACTGCTCTTCCCTCAGACACCTACAAAGCTCGTTCCACTCCCTCCTGTGTGTGCCGAAGTGTCACCCTGCCTGACCACCACCCCCACTCAGCACCCCCTCCCACCTTCCCTGTCTTATTTTGGTTCAAAGTGCACCTCGTCAACCTAGAATTTACCTGGGTATTATCTTCTCACCCTGAATGCACCAGGAGGGCAGGGACTTTTGTCTGTGTTGTTCACTGAGATATCCCCAGCACCTACAATGCTTGGCCCAGAGTGGATGCTTCAGGAAGATTTGGTGAGTTCATTAATTAATTTGGCCAAGAGGTGAGCCAGGAAAGAGGTTACCTCTAGCTGAGGTTGTCCTAGAAGCGAGGACCACTAGGTCATGAACACAGCACTGTCCGGGACTTCAAGAGACCTGCGTTCAAGTCCACCAAATGGCCACTGTGACCCTCTGCGGGGCCCTCAGCTCCTGAGCCAGTTCCCCAATCTATAAAATGGGAATGCAGATCTCCATCTTGCCTCCCCATGGAGTGGCTGAGGACATGATGAGACAATAAGTGCAAAGGCCCTTTTCCAGCCATGAGGGAAGGGGAAGGGGGTGTGCCTGGGTCCTGGGGAGGGATTGCCCAGGTGAGCCTTCAGGAGGAAGTTAACGGCAGGAAGCAATGACGACTGGACCCAACTCACTGAGAGATGGTAGCGGCCAACTGCAACTCAGCGACACAAAACAGCTTATTCTTGCAGGCCTTCTCGTAGGGCAGCTGTAACCAAAGAGAAGCAGGGTCAGCCCAGGGCCCCACCTCCCCAGCAGCCCTGCCACGACCTTCCACGTAGCACACCGAGGCCTGTCCTCTCTGCTCACTCTGGGAAGAGCAGTTACGGGGAGGTGAAGGCGGACAGGCTGGGATTGTGCCCACACAGCCAAGAGGGCTGTGGCTGGGACATTCCTGGATCCGTACCACAAGGACACACCGTGAACCAGGCCTCTGGCCAAGGCCAAAAACGGGGTGACCACTGTGGAATGGTGGCTGTACCTGCCACATTCATATTCTGTGAATTAAAAAGCAGCACTCACAACTCACTACTTTGAGCATTTGAGGAGGAAAACTATGGGAAGACAAGCTTCCTGAGTCCTCTCAAGCCTAGGCAGCAACGGCAGCAGCAGGATGGGGGCTACCTAACCAAATGCCATCCGAGTCTGCCCGTGGAGGTCCTCTTGCCCATGGTAGTCTTCTCTGTAAATAAACTGTCTCACAATCTTGCCTACACATAACAAACTAATTCAGAAGGCCATATGTGGTTCAAGGCCCCATCAAGTTTAAAAAGCCCCAGTTTGAGTTGAAAAATTAAATTTTCTAAAGTAGCTGGGTCTATTTTTTATTATGAAGGAAACAGCCAACTCCCTGACTCGGGGGGGTCTCTGCATTTATCTCCCCAGCAGCCAGTGATCACCTCCACAGCCTCCTGCAGGTCTGTTATCACAGCCAGGGCTGGGACGGGAGCCCAGAGCTTGAAAGGAGACTTTCTGCTTCCTGGAGAAAGAAGATGCCATTTGCAGAAGTCAGAGCGTGCAGCTCTATCTAACTGGGTCAACAGTTTTGTGCAGGGTTTTTTGTTCTGTTTTTAATATAGCCACGTAGCCAACCCCAGTGAAAGAGAATGGGGTTAGACCATCTGAGCTACCAGCTAGAACTCATTCTCCGGTAATGTCTATGTGCCTACAACAGATAATTTTTTCTCAGCCATCTTGTAGATGGAATAAATTTTTTAAAATCTCTTTGTCGAACCATCACAGTAATAATTGATTAAGGTAAGACACATTAATAGATGTTAAGCAGGATATAATGTCAAAGTATCTCACCATAAAATACTTACTGATTACAAAGGATAATAGCACTAGTAATGGTACAAAAGTGTATGGATATACTGAGAAGGCCACAACTTTCCTTCTGTAATATTCCTTACAAAAATGCATAGCCTGAATCAAATCATGAGGAAACAACAAATAAACTCAAATTGACGAACATTCTACAAAATGACTGGTCTGTACCCATTCAAAAATGTTGAGGTCATTAAAGATAAGGAAAGACTGAGAAACTGTTCCAAGTTAAAGGAAACTAAAGATAAACAACAATAAAATACAATGAATGGGCTAGGCATAGTGGCTCACATCTCCAACCCCAGCACTTTGGGAGGCTGAAGTGGGAGGATCACTTGAGGCCAGAAGTTCGAGACCAGCTTAGGTGACATAGCAAGACCCTGTCTCTACAAAAACATAAGAAAAATTAGCCAGGTGTGGTGGTACGTGCCTGTAGTCCCAGGTACTCCAGAGGCAGAGGAGGGAGGATTGCCTGAGCCTGGGGTTTGAGGCTGCAGTGAGCTATGATCATGCCACTGTATTCCAGCCTGGGCAACAGAGTGAGACCCTATCTCAAAAATAACTAACTAACTAAATAAATAAATAAATGCAATGAATATTCCTGGACCACAACATTTTTTCTTTTGCTATAAAGGACATTAATAAGACAACTGGTAAAATTTGAATAAAGCTGGAAGATCAGATAATAGTATTTTATCAATGTTAATTTCCTGATTTTGATTATTGTACTGTGTTTTAGGAGAATGCCCTTATTTTTAGAAAATATGTGCTGAAGTATTGAGGGTAAAGAGGCAGAATTTCTGTAACTTACTCTCAAATGAGAATTCTTTGGACTATTCTTGTAACTTTTTGGTAAGTTAAATAATTCAAAATAAAAAATTTTTTAAAAACAGAATATATGTAATTAATGATCATCTACTTATCACCAAAACTTTATTACATTAGTTCTCCCAGTCTTTTCTGCATCATCTAACTTGCTGTCAATACCAAATTTTTTTAATTCTTGAAAAAATAAATATAGTATTATAAATTTAAAATAAAGTCTCTCTGCCTAAAAAATGAAGATGACAATCTTTGCTCATAGAGAGGCTGAGTCATCTGATTATGTTACTGTCCTATTTCTGTTCACTATTTAGAACTGGTACACTGGGTATTGATCAAAACTGGAGCTAAAGGTTTATATAATTTAATTAATACAGAACATATCTTGCAAAAGTGCTGGACAGCCATGAGTGTCCTATGATTACCTGGAAACATACTTTGTAATCTGAAACTTTTCTGTGCCTGCATGAGCTACTTTGGGCTTTTTATTTTTTTGCGACTCAATTCATCCCAGCGGACCCTAATTATTACTTTTTAATGCTAATGTTGCTTCTTTCTTCCTGCTGATTTTTTTCTATACTCTCTAAGTGGAGATTGACAAAATACCCTGGGGGCCAGGGTTTGGGTGGGGAAAAAATCACCTTAGATATCACAAGATTAGGACTTTTTTTTTTTTTGAGACAGAGTCTCTGTTGCCCGGACTAGAGTGCAATGGCATCATCATAGCTCACTGCAGCCTCCAACTCCTGGGCTCGAGCGATCCTTCTGCCTCAGCCTCCCCAGAAGGTGGGACTACAGGTACACGCCACCATGCCTGGCTAATTTTTCTATTTTTTGTAGAGAGGGGGTCTTGCTCTTGCTCAGGCTGGCCTCGCACTCTGGCCTGAAATAATCCTCCCACCTTGGCCTCCCAGAGTGCTGGGGTTACAGGTGTGTGCCACCCTGCCCAGCCTCTGGATCAGGAAATTTGACACTTTATTTCCCCGGTCTGATTTCCTCTAGTCATGAGAAGAGTTTCTTGTAACATTGCTCACCTGTCTTCGCTGCACTGATGGGGACCTGGAGGAGAGGTTAGGGTGCAGGTTCGGTGGGACCAGACATTCAGCCTGAAGGCCCTGGGACAGCTCCACTCCAGCCCCCACAAGGGGCCCCCACCACACCATCATCAGAGACTCTTGCCAAGTGAGGGCCCCAGTATGCGATGTATTCATGTGCTTCATTAAATACGTAGCAAGAGATTTTTGTGAACATAAAGGCACGAGTCCTGGGAAGGTGGTTGGAGACCTGTGTTACCCACCAGTGAGGCCCTATGCAAATTCGCACCATCTCAAGGAGGACTCAGTTTCCTCATTTGTACAGTGAGGGACCCAATTGCTGTTGGCAGAGCAGGTACTTTTTGTGGGATGGCCCCCAGGAGTGTTGAGTACTAGCTCTGGGCAGAGTCACCTGGAAGATGGCGGAGGGCTCAGTGTAGTGGTCCAGGATGGGCTGGGGACGGTCCCTCCACGCCCCGAGGGTCTGGATTTGGTAGCTGACCTTGACACTGATGTTGGAGAAGCAGTCCTCCTCACAGAGCTGCACGGTCACCACGGCAGGCAGGGTTAGAGTTGTATGTGGGAGAGAAGATGACAAGGAGAATACTTTTAACTTTGATGTAGCCGTATAAGAAATAAACAATGAAAGAAGTGAATCAGAAGTTCTAAACATCTTCCGACTCAGCCAGGCTGAAGGCAAACTTCCTTCAAGCAAGCCGCCAAGAGCTTTGGAAAAATCTCCCATGATCTGCTATGGCCTTGGGCCCCAAACCTCCTTATGGTTCCGACCCCAATCACAAAGGATTCTGGCCATCAGGGCTTAAGAACTGGCCCAGACTTTACTAGGAGAGGAAGAGTCATGGTCACATCTTTCTTTGAGAAAGATCTTTCTCAAAGTAGCACGGATGACATACCAGAGAAGTCAAAACTGGAAGTAAGGAGATTGCTTAAGATACCATGTGCCATTATCTTTGTTTAAATGAGCCCTTCTGCCACAACAAGAGAGTATGAGAGCATGATTCTCTGGTGGATAGTGTCACGTTGTTATGCTTGTATTTAAGGAAGGCCACAGACTTGCTAGAACTCTTTCTTAATCCAATTAACAATGACCTTGGGAGCAGATGTGTAGTCAGAAGCATGATTCATGAATCATGAGTTTATTTATTGGAATAAATGAACTTTTAGGTCCAAAGTTCTAGGTCCTGTTAGGCTCTGAGTCCTGATAAATACATTTTTTTTCATGTCTCTGGGCACGTCTGCCAGGAGTAAACCTTTCCAGATAACAGTTTTTATCTTTCTATTTCTACCTTGTAGTTGTTCAATTTTTCTTTTTCTTTTCTTCTTTTTTTTTTTTTTTTTGAGACAGAGTCTCACTCTGTTGCTCGGGCTAGAGTGAGTGCCGTGGTGTCAGCCCAGCTCACAGCAACCTCAAACTCCTGGGCTCAAGCGATCCTCCTGCCTCAGCCTCCCGAGTAGCGGGGACTACAGGCATGCGCCACCATGCCCAGCTAATTTTTTCTATATATTTTTAGTTGTCCAGCTCATTTCTTTCTATTTTTTTAGTAGAGACGGGGTCTCACTCTTGCTCAGGCTGGTCTCGAACTCCTGAGCTCAAACAATCCACCCGCCTCAGCCTCCCAGAGAGCTAGGATTACAGGCGTGAGCCACCGCGCCCGGCCTAGTTGTTCAATTTTTCTGATGTTAACTCATAGAAGGGCCCTGAGCCCCACCGTTAGCATCAGGTGAGTGGATAACATAGGGGAGGGATACTTGCTATTCCTGGTTTATTACTAAGAAAAATGTCAGCAATTAGAGCCTCTCCAACTCCCTGATGTGGTTCTTGATCTACTCTGGCTATTTTAGTCACCTTATTTGTATGTTTGGGTATATGTCCTTCACTCACACACTTCAAACCTTTTCTCTATGCCACAGACCCCTCTGGCCTCCCATCTAAACTCCTCCACTTACCTCTCCCTCTGTAGGCACGAGCAGGAGGTGCTCACAGAGATGGGACCCATCCCTCCACTCCCAAACGTAGCTCCAGTAGGTTCTCGGGTCTGAACACTGCAGCCTTTTCCTCGGCTTCCCCACATCCACGTCCAGCGTGAAGTTGACAGCTGTCTCTCCGAGGCCTGGGAATGAAGACCAGACCTTCCTGGTAAGGCGGGGATGGGCAACCCCCAGGCAGAGCCCCCTGGGCCCCCGGCCTGCCTGAGGTTCCTGGCGAACCCCTCCTGAACAGTGTCCCCATGCAGGCACCCCCCGGGGCTGCACTCCTCAGTTTCTTCTTCATTTCAAAGATACTTTTCTCATCGTCTTCTGGCACCTGGCCAGGGTCCCTCGCAGCTGCAGCCCCAATCCCAGAGCAGCACACTGCCAGGGCGGAGTCAGCCGTCCTTAGGGAAAGAGGGCTCAGGAAGGAGACAGTAAGGTGGGGGAAAATAATGCAGGAAGGGAGAGAGAAACCACAGAGTAAAACCTGAGGATAGCAGAGCTGGAAGCACCTTGGAGATTCCTGGGCCACTCCCTTACTATACAGAACAGAAACCAGGGCCCAGCGAGGGAAAGACGCCTGCCCAGTGTCTCACAGCCCTCAGCAGGCTCTGCGCCCGGGAAATGATAGGTCTGTCATTTTCTACTCCCAGATTTGACAATAGCCTCCTTCTGAGGTAAAGCCACCCCACCCCAGGGGACCGCTCTGTGACCTGCGGGAAGCAGAGAGCCACCTCAGGGGTTGTTACTGAGAAGTTAAACCTTGGGGACTGTTCTAGAGGGGAGCTCTTGGGGTGGCAGCAAAGACCTGGGCTGTGAAAGCCATGCCCAGCCTCCCCTTTCTGGAAACAGTCTCCCAACAAGTGTCAGGTAAGTGGGTGGGAAGAGAGGCCAGGCCTCCAGCAGGTTATCCAATCCCACCTGGGCCAGGGAGACGTGGTAAGGATGCGAGGGGAGAAGATGTCAATCAGAGAGAAAGAGGAAGGCACTTCTCAGGGGCCCCAACACACATGGGCACACACACGGCACAGTAGATGGGGATGGAGAAATGGCTGCCTTTGAGTCGTTCAGAAACTCAACCTTTCAGCCCTGGAGAAGAAGACTAATGGCTTCTTCCCCACAGGGTCAGACACACCCCTTCAGAGTGGGGATGTAACATCAGGCCACCCTGTCTTGGAGTAGTTTGCATTGAACAGACCTAGCGACAAAGGGGCTGAGCTCTAATGGGGGGATCACAAGCACCGGGACGGTGAAGCTGAGGGGTCGGCGAGACCGCCTATTACCTGACACAGCAGCTGCGGTCGCAGAGCCGATGTCAAAACACAAATGTACCTTCACGCTGCTGTTGAAGCCAATGGGCAGTGCACGGGGGGTGAAGGTCATGGACACCCGCGGGCGAACCACGGGGCGTGAGCTAAACAAGACAGCAAAGAGGACCATGAGAAGTGAGCGCAGGGCTTCTGGGCCAGTGCTTGCCTCACTCAGTCATGCATTCGGCGAATATCCATTGAACAGCTCCAGTACGCAGGCACTGCTCTGAGCTACAGTAGAGAGACAGTCCCTGCTCTAGCGGGGCAGCTGACAACAAGTAAATAAACAAGAGAAACAGGGAACACTATGTGCTGGGAATGCTATGATAAAAACAAAATAGAATAAGGCAATAGAGACTGAGGGCTACTTAGACGGGGTGGAGTGGTCAGGGACGGCCTCACTCATGAGGAGGTACTTAAGTTGAGATCTGTTACCAAGCCCACTATGTGAACCTCTGGGGAAGAGCATTCCAGACAGAAAGCGCAGCTGGAGCAAAGGGCCTGTGGCAGGAGTGAGCTTGGTTTGAGGAGAGCAAAGGTCAGTGCGATTGGAGCATGGTTAGGGAGACAGAAGGTAGCAACAGGAGGTAGGCGTGGAGGAGAGGAATTTGGATTTCCTGCTAAGCGGTAGCCATGTGGGGTCTTAGGCAGCAGAGTGACGGGATTGTGCCGGCTGCTGTGTGGAGAGTGGAGCACAGGGAGGGCACACAGGAAGACTGCTGTGGCAGCGTCCAAACGACAGTGTCTTGTAGTGGGAGGTATTTTGGAGGCAGAGCCAACAAAAACTTGTCGATGGGGTGGTGGCGGAAGGAAAAAGAGGAGTCGAGGACGACTCTAAGGTTTTCGTCCTGAACTTGGATGATGGTGCCATTTGCTGAGCTAGGAAGCCTGGGGGAGGGCAGATTTGGGGGAACGAAGGGTGAGTGAAGACAGGCGCTCTGTTTTTAGACACGTTCACTTTGAGATGCTCATGGGCAGCAGCCGAGAGGGGTGTTGAGTAGACAGCCAAGTCTAGAGCTTGGTGGAGAGGACAGGGCACAGAGGTGCTCCGTCAGCTTATCTATAGCCAGGGGACTTGATGCGCTCCCTTAGGGGTGGAGCACAGCAGCTCTGAAATTCTTAATAATCGTGACAGCCATCACTGAGCACTGTGTGAAATATTTTGCATATATTCACTCGCATTATCCTCATAACTGTGTGAAGTAGGTACTATTATAATTTCCATTTAAGAAAGTTGGGGCCAGGCATGGTGGCTCACACCTGTAATCCTAGCATTCCGGGAGGCTGAGGCCAAAGGAACACTTGAGCTCAGGAGTTCGAGACCAGCCTGAGCAAGAGCGAGACCCCGTCTCTACTAAAAACAGAAAAATTAGCTGGGCGTGGTGCCACACGCCTGTAGTCCCAGCCTCTCGGGAGGCTGAGGCAGGAGGATCGCTTGAGCCCAGGAGTTCAAGGTTGAAGTGAACTATGATTGTGCCACTGCACTCTAGCTGGGCGACAGAGCGAGACCCTATCTCCAAACGAAAAAGGGAAAGTTGGGACTTAGAATTAGACAGGCTGCCAAGGTCACACCAGTAAGTGAGAGCTGAAGTTCAAACCCAGGAGGGCAGACTCCAGGGCCTGTCAGCCCCTGTGCTTCCTCCCTCCCTCAGTGCCTGCTGTGTGCTTGGGGCCGTTTAGGGCAGGGCCAGTGGGTGAGACTGGGGCCTGGGACCCCGGAAGCAGGGCAGAGTCCTACCGGAGCACAGCCGCCTGGCCCAGCGTGCCCACAGTGATGTCAGCAAGGCCATCGCCATTGAAGTCTAAGCCACCAGCCACGGATGTGCCAAAGTAACGGAGTCCTGGGGCCACCGCTGAGGCTCGGATCCGCTGTGGAGGGAGAAACGCAAGGCGTGGGATGGGGGGAGTCCTTCCAAATCAGCATCGTCAGCCACCGTCCAGCCCCAGGGAGCCCTCAATCTAGACACAAGAAAGAGGGGCAAGGATTCCCAGAGGAAGTGGCATCTGAATGGAGCCTCGAGGGCAGAGGGGACTCGATATGGGAGAGTGAGGGGAAGAGTGAGGGATGGGAAGAGCAGGGTGCTCCCAGGAAGCAGCCAAGGGCTAGTGTGGGGCGATGCGGGCAGCAGGGGATGTGCTGCAGGGAGGCTTGATGAGAGCTGGGGGTCGGGGGCCAGCAAAGGCTTTTTCAAAGGACTAACTTGTGGAAATGCCAACCACCGAAGGCACTGGGTAGAACACGGGAGGAAGAAGAAGCTGGGGTTGGGGGGAGTCCAGGGGAGGGGTGACAAGGCCCAGGCTGGGACAGGGATGGCGGGAATGGAGAGGAAGGGATGGATTTGGGAGAAGCTAGAATCATGACGTTATGGGGACTGACAGGCCATGCAAGGTGTCAGAGTGCCTGGGACTGCCCTAGGTTTCTGGTGTGGGGGACAGAAGGGGACGGGGTCTCATCTCAGAGGAGCGGCAGGTCTGGGGGAAAAGGAGTCTCTCAATTGGGCATGGAGAGTGAGTTGCCTGGCGGCCACCCAGGCGGAGGTGCTCAGGAGCTGGAGGTGGGAGAAAGTGCCCGTAACGGATGTGGTGCGGGAGGCTGGCAGTGGAGCCTGCAGATGCGCGTTAAGGCATGGAGGGGACGGACGGGGAATGGGGGCCAGAGAAGGGACAGACAGAGAGGAGGGAGGGGCCCAGGTAGGTCCAAGGAAGGAGGGCGATCTGTACAGGTCAGGGAAGTTGACAGATGTTGCCACAACCTCTCCCCCAACCTGAAGGGTCTGGGGCATGGCCCCGGCCTGGAACCTCCCACCAGCCTGAGGGACTTCTCCTCTGCTTCCCTGGGCACTCCCAACCCCTGAGGCCTGCCCAGCACTTAGGACTGGAGCGACTCAGGGCTCAGGTCCACATCTGGGGGAGGTCAGAGCCCCAGAGAGGCAGGAGAGAGCCCCACAGGTCACCTGCGAGGGGCTGGCAGAGAGGCCGTCCCAGTGTCCATTGTAGATGTACACACTGCCGAAGCTGGCACCGTCGTCTGCCCCAAAACCCTCCAGGGGGGCCCCGATGGCCACATCCGTGAGCTTATCCTGGCTGATGTCCCCCACAGTTGCCATGGCAAAGCCAAAGCGGGCATCAATGAAGCCGGGGTGCCCACTCAGCACACGTGCCAAGGAGAAGGAACCGTCCTGCAAAACAAACAAGCTGCTCAGCTCCCAAGAAGGGGCACCGGGTGTCGCCCAGGAGGCACACTCGCTGGGCTTGCCAATTCTCATTCTCTGGCAGGGAGTCTGAGGCTCAGAAAAGGCAAGGGACCTTCCCAAGGTCACACAGTGAGCCCGTGGTCAAACTGGGGTCCTCCTGCCTTGATGTTAGCCTGTCCCCCTCTACTCCCACGGGTGGGAGTGCCAGACTGGCAACTGGGAGGCCTGGGTTCTGGGCTTGGCTCTAGGTAAACTTGAGCAAGTCTCAACATCACTGAGGCTCACTGAGCCTCAGTGTCCTCATCTGTGAAATGGGATGGCAGTTACCTCCCATAGTTACTATGAGAAACAAGTGAGAGCATGGACAAAATGTACTTTGTCAGCCGTGCAGCTATAAGGGATGTTATCAACAACTGCCCTTGGGTGAGAAAGTGGGAGGGGGCAGTGGAGCAGCTCCCACCCGCAGCCGTCCACCCTGAGCACCACATCACTGCCGGCTGGTGCAAGGCAGGCCCAGGGCACCCCCAGCCCCCTTCAGTTCTGTGCCAGGCTGGGTAGCCACAGCCCCAGCAAGCCCAGGAGGACTAACTCTCCCACCTGCTCGTTCAGCCGGTACACATAGACTCTGCCTTCTTCTCTGTGAACGTGGTAAAATGGAGCAGCCACCAGCAAGAAGTCCGTGGTCCCATCCATGTTAATGTCCACAGGGCACAGCTCAGAGCCAAAATAGGACCCCATCTACAGCCCAGGAGGAACTCCGCTCACAAAGAGGCCCCTTCTCCGCCCCTCAGCAATGCTAGACCCCTGCTTGTGCTCTTCCCTGACCACCAAATTTGGGTCGCTCCATACAAGTTTGCTCACTAGAGTAACACAGCAGACTGGGTGAGCAGCCCAGTCCCCTGCAATGGGGGAAATCACCTGGCAATCAGACACCAGGGCCACTAAGTTCTACCCAGGCTGGGGGCAGAGCCACTGTGGGCCCTGAAGTCTGTCCCTTTCCCCTGGGGCCTCCAGATCCCCCATCTGTAATAAGGAGGGAGGGTCTTCTCCAGCAAGTACCTGCTCTCCCTCCAGCACTGGCAGGAAGCTGGCCTTGCCACTTTCCTTCTGGAGCTCAAACAGCGCCCCACGCTGCTTGTGCCGTGGAGCCCCGGCCACGTAGGAGAGGCCACAGGCCTTGTGCAGCACGGCCACGGAGTAACCTGGCGCGGGGGTGGTGTGGCTGTGAATAGGTGCTCCCACCGGCCCCTCCCCTGGCCCCCCACCTTCCCAGTGGCCTGGGGAGGGGGCAAAATAGGAGAGACTGTCTTCTCACCATTTTAAAAATCGGCACCAGCGAGTGCTCCCACTGTCGCACTGTCGCCAGTCACACACGCGTGCCCCACCACACAGACGTGATACATACATACACTGTCACGTGAACAGCTTCGCTCAAAATACTCATTCACACACATTCACCGCTCCCGTTCGTCGCACACGCACTCGATGAGAACAGAGGTGAGGGGCGTGTGGACACCCACCACTATTATTAATGGAGGGGTCCCACCCTCCCCTAGGCAGCCGCCCAGGGCCACCCGGTGCTCTGCTTCATGTACCTAGCATGTCCCCACCAGGGGGGTAATTCTCAACTTCAGAGTCCCTGACCAGGCCCCGCCCCTCAGCCCATGGACCAACCAGGACCCGTCCCCACTAGGAAGCATAAAGTGCAGCGTAGTGCGCAGCCTCGGTGTCCCTGGTCTCAGCCCCGCCCTCTCCCTGGTAGTCTACAGGCCCCGGCCCCGCCCAGGTAGCCTCTAGGCCCCGCCCCCGCCCAGGTAGCCTCCAGGCCTGCCCTCACCCAGATAGCTGTACTGCGCAGCCTCAGTGTCCGCCTCCGCAGTGTGGTTCAGGAAGCAGCCTCGGTGTCCCTGGTCTCAGCCCCGCCCTCTCCCTGGTAGTCTACAGGCCCCGCCCCCGCCCAGGTAGCCTCCAGGCCCCGCCCCCGCCCAGGTAGCCTCCAGGCCTGCCCTCACCCAGATAGCTGTACTGCGCAGCCTCAGTGTCCGCCTCCGCAGTGTGGTTCAGGAAGCGGCCCCGGCGGGTGCGCGTGTCATAGAGCAGTGCACCCCCAGACCAGTCGTAGGCTCCGACGGCACCAAGCAGCACCTGCCCCTGCAGGGGACAGGGATGGGTCCCAAATGAGAGAGAGGGACCCAGGAGCCAGCCACAGTGACCGCGGTTCTACGGGCCAGCTCAGTGAATGTTGCTGGGGGAAGGAGACTGTTCCATGGCCCTGTGCCCACCTGGCCAGCGAGGCAGGAAGGCCAGATGGCAAATGTTGGTTCCTGCCTTGTACCCATGATCTTGTCAGGGCAGCTGTATTTCCCTAAAGTAACCATGGGCCCAGATGTTGAACATTAAAAAAGTATGATTAAAAATAAAAATAAAAAAGAATGATGAGTGAAGGTGCTAACTGTGCTTCCACCATGTGCAAGGACCGCGTCCTCAGGGAGCCTGTGCCTGTCTCCATCTGTAGGGAACAGTGTGCCCTCCAGGAGAAGTAAACACTTGCGTGGCAGGCTGGCCCAGGCCAAATCCTGTTTTGCTCGTCCATGTTAAGCGGAATTACTCAGTGTTTGAGCGCACGGAACAAAACGGTCTGTGTTAAGTACGGCTATCCTCTGCCTATCCCAATGTTCCAGACTAAGGCGAGCAAGCAGATGTGTTTCCTTTATCCTAAGATGGCTCCTTCAGAGGCAGCACACAGGGAGGGCAGAGCTGCACCGTGAACCAGGAGTCCCTGAATCCCTAGGTGTCACTGGGGCCCTTCCTCTGTGGGCCAGACTGCCTGGCACTGCAGTGGCCATGTACCTCGTCCAGGATCTGGGCACTGAAGCCAACCTGCGCCAGCTGGTAGTGAAGGGCGTCTCCAACCGTGCCTGGAAGCCAAGAAGCCCGGTGAGAAATGCTGTGGGCCAAGGTGAAGGGAGAGAGCAAATCGGGGAAGGATCCAGCTTGTCCTCACTCCCAGAGGGAACAATGCTTGGGGTAATAGGGAAAGCACCAGGCTGAGTAGAGACCCGGGTTCTCCTTTAGCAACCACTGGCTGAGTAGGCGTGGGCAGTTCACTCCCTCCTTCTGGCCTCAGTTTACTCATCTGTGAGCTGCTGGGAGAAGGAACTATGCCCCAGTCACCTGTGTTTCTCCAGCAGTGCAGTTCATTGGAGCTTTGGAAGTGAGTGAGGGGCCTGGGGATAGTGTTGCCCAGAGAGGTGGGGAGTTGCTCAGGATACCACATGCAGGTCGCACGGAGGGGGAGCCTGGGCACAGGGCTTGAGCCTCCTACTGGATGCTGAGGGGGCTGCTGCAGGGTGGCCTGGCCCCGGAGCCCTCACCTTCCATGCGAATGATGTTGTGCTGCAGTTTGCTCAGTAGCCCATCCAGCGCCGTGTAGTTGGTCACCTTGAAAGCGTGGGTCTCATCGGGGTCCGAGGCGATCAGCTTCAATTCTCTGTCAGTCTTAACTTTCTTAAATGCATCTCCCACCTGCACAGAGGCCGTGGGTCAGTGGGTCGGCACCGTGGGGGCGGGCTGGCTTTCTCAATCCCTGAGAGCTCGCTAGGCCCAGGGGCCCCTCCACCTGGCCTTCTGGCCCCTCCATGGCCTGACTCCTGCCTTCCTCCTTCCTTCCCTGCTCCCTGTTCTCCTACACACACCCTGGGGGGGAAGAACTCCAGTTGTACCAAACTGTGTTTTCCCGAACACGCCAGTCTCCTTCTCCTCTCTGCACATTCTGTTCCCTCTGCCTGCAGAGCCCTGCCCATCCCACCCCCATGTCCCAGGCCGGCTACTCCTGTTTGCCTGCCGGGGCTCGGCCCAGCACCCCTCCTCCAGGGCCCCTCCCTGATGTCCTTCCTGTGGGCTCTCCCAGCACTATCTGGCAAGCAAGCTGTGACCACCAGTGGGAAATGAGCCCTCTGTGGGTGGCAGGGGGAGCACAGCGCGTGAGCATGTAGGGAGAGAGTGGTGTTTGTGACCAAAGCAGTGTCTGGGTAAACTGCTTAGAGAAGCCCCTCTGGAGAACTGGCTGCCCCCACCCCAGGCTGTGCAGGGTCAGGAGGTGCCTCCCAGCTCCCGGCTCTTACCCCAATGGCAAAGCGCTCAACACCCTGCATCTTGGGGGAGTTGATGACAGTTGTGAGGTTGAGGGTGTCCCCGAATATGTCACCATCGGTCAGCACCACCATGACCTTGGATGCATTTTTCCTGGAGCCACCGCTTGGTGTGAAGATGTTGTCTCTAAGCAGGGGAGAGTGAAGGAAGAGAATTTTGCCAGAGGGAGGGCTGAGCTCTGGGGTAGGTTTTATTCACTGACCTGCATTAGAATTGGGGAGGATTCTCGATCCTCCCAAAAGGCCCAAAGAAGGGTGGTGATGCCCCTTGTGCCACACGGCAAGGAGACCTGCTAGATGGCACTTAGTCTACTCCTTGTGGGTGTGGGGGGGAATAGCAATGCTATTAAAATGACGGACAATACTTACATAGCACTTATTATGTGCCAGGCACTGTTGTAAACACTGTATATATTTTAACCCATCTAATCCTCACAAAATCTCTGAGGCAAGTACTATATTACTCTCATTTTAAAAGTGAGGAAACTGAAGCACAGAGAAGTTAGAGAACTTGCCCAGGGTCACACAGACACAAACGGGAGCTGGGATTTGAACCCTGGCAGCCAGTCCCCTTAGCACTCTGTACTCTACTGCCTCTCACAAAGGAGGCCTTTGGAAGAATTTTTAGAGGACAATCCTGAGGTGTCATCCCCCACATTCCCTCTCAGCCAAGGAAAAGCTGGAACCCCGATCCCTCCCCTCACAGTTCTGTCCAGCCACTTTCCCCAGGCACGATGCCACAGAGACTCTGGGCACGGCCACCAGTCGGCACCCAGCAGACACTCAGGCGATTCCTGCTGCCCTCGCACTCACAAGACGTGCTGTATGGCTGAGGCAGTCTTGGTGACATTCCCCACTTGAACGACGCTCTGGACTCTGGCGAGGGAGGCCATCACATCCTGGCTGTCCCGAAGGTCAAACTCAGTCTGGATCACTGCCCCGTACTGCACCAGGGCGAAGCTGCACTGGAGGGGAGGAGGCCAGGTGGGGGAGGAGGTGGGCAGAGATGCCATGCCAAGGCCACCCTTGCCCCTGCAATGGCTCCCCCTGGAAGCAGTGGAAGAATCCACCCATTCCACCTTATCCCTGGGCAGAAGGAGATGCTAAGGCAGAAGGAATTCTCTAAGCAAGTAGGGGTGGAGAAGGGTGAGACAGTAACGGCCCACAGTGAATCACAGACTTCTCCTGACTCCCTGTGTGGTCCCCTCCATACTACTGTGGGATTGGCCACGTGACTTGCTTTGACCAATGGACATCAGCAAATGTGATGCAATTTGAGACTTGAAAACTGTTTTCATGCATTGGATCTTGCCCTCTTGGAATGTTGCTGCCATGAAGAGGTTGGGCTGGCCTGCTGGAGACACATGGCCCAGACAAATGAGTGAGGACATCTTAGGCCATCCAGCCCCCATCAACCAACTAGATGCCTACAGCTGCAGGGTAACTCCAGGCAAGACCAGCAGAAGAACCACCAGCTGAGCTCATCCCAAACATGTGACTTGCAGAATTGTGAGCAAATAAAATGGTTGTTTTGAGGTAATGTGTTACACAGCAATAGATATGTGATAAATTACACGAAGCCAGTTCTTAGGGAAACTCACATCAAAACACTTCTCATAGAAGTTCCTCATCATGTTGGAGATGAAGTCTTTGGCTCTCTGGAAGTCTGGGGGATCAATGCTTCCTGAGCCATCCAGGATGATGGCAATCTCAGTGCCTGGGCAAGACAACAAGCAGGTCAGGAGTGGGCATGGGATTTGGGGCAGGCATGAGGACAGCATGTCCTGCCCTGTAGGGCACAGGCCCCCATTCAATCCCTGAGGGGTCAGTTCAGGGAAGAAGTTGGGGAAGCTCCCAGGAGTGAAACTAGTGTCTCAGAGGCAAAGAGAGAGCTGAACCTGCTCAGGCTCTGACTTGCTGTATGAGTCACTCCCATTACTCCCACTCTCTGGGCCTCAGTTTCCCCATCTGTAAGATAGAGCAGGCAGAGCTGGGACTGGCCAGGCCTGTAGAATCCAGCCACTGTTCCCCCACCATCTCTTAGGCTAAGGCACCCCGCAGCCCTGGAGGCTGCCAGGCTAGGGGTTGGCTCTGACAGCCTCTGGGAGCAACCCAGATCTGCCTCTTCTCACCAGCTTCATCTTCTTCCTCTTCCTCTTCCTCCTCTTTTTCCTCCTCCAGAGCCCGGCGCTGCCTGGCTGTGTTCTCCTGCTCTCCCATGCTGCCTTCTTTGCTCCTGTAGCAGTCTCCAGTGTCCACATGTGCACCCGGATCCAGGAGACTTTCTTTATAAAACACACATGGAAGAGCTCAGAGTCAGAAAGCCTCCACATTCACCTTAGGCTGCTCACGCTTAGCTCTGCCCTGATGCCTTTCACATGGGGCCTGTGTCCCTCTGCATCTGCCATGGGCCGGTGCCTCTCCTTAGAGACCAGAAGGAATCTCTTTAGAGCCTTCCAAGGCCAGTGAGTGTCCAATCCTTACCAAGGTCAAAGAAGTTGGCCTGCGCCCGGGGACTGAGGTCAGGGTCCAGTAGGCTACAGTTGCCTGTGAGTTCTGAGCTGAGGCTGTGGGGCCGCCGGGCTGGCACTTGAATGCATACCTGGGGAGAGGGGAAGAAAGGGAGAGGGTAGGCGGGCTGGGTCACCCCCATGTTCTTAAGCCACAGCCCCACTATCACCTCTACCCCAGAACTCAGTGGCTTAACCAGGCAGGGGACACAGGGGGTCGCTCACCCCTTGCCAGGGGCAGGAGTCAGGGCTGGGGTCAAAGCTGAAGTCAGCCCCTGGGTGGGTGTGCCAGGCCACATGGAATACCTGGTCAGCCCTGGCATCAGCATAGGCGGTCAGAGCAGCAGTCAGCCCTGGAGTGGGCACCAGGGAGACAGCTGGGCTCAGCCCCAAGAATAACATACCAGTTAGAACTGGTATCAATGCCAGGGTCAACCACAGGTTAGCCCCAGCCTCCCTGAGACCCCCCGTCCTCCCACCATGCACACTCACCAGAACACCATGGTGGCTCCGGACAACTGTCACTCCCCAGTGCCGCCCCTTTGGGATGCAGACATGCTCTGAAACGGTTAAACCCAGGTAAGGAGGGAGGGATGCAGGGAGGCAGCCCTGGAGCCAAGGTCAGAGAGCACAGGGACACCTTGATCTGAGCCCCATGAGGAACTGTGGTCACTCAGAGCAGCTTCTAGAAAGCTGGAGCAAGGAGGCCTCCAAGGACAGGCCTGGACACAACCTGGGCAAAGTGCCTGTCCCTAGGGCTCATTTATTGACTCAGTCAACAAATGCCCCTTGACGTCTGCTCTGAGCCCAGCCTGTGACCCATGGTGAGGAGACCTGGTGCTTTTCCTCAAAGGGCTCCTAGTCTGGTGGGGGTGGGTAGAGAAGCACTGGCTGGTGGGTGTGCACAGCGCCGGGGGGGAGTGCAAGATGCCGCAGGACTGGCTCTGTGGACCGAGGAACCTCCAGCCTCAGAGACCCACCCCGGGGGGAATCTGACTGCCTCACACCTCGGGGGAAAAAGTGGTAGCTCCTTCCTCTGCCTTCTGACTCTGGGACTCAGGATTCTGTCTTATTTTTGAGTCACAGACTCACTCAACACCCCTGCTGGACTGTGCACTCGTCTGGGCAGAGATTGACTCTGTTCAACTCAGCACCCCTCACAGAGACAAGGATTCTACTTATACAGCCAAGTGGTTGTCGGTAAATGTGAGACTTGAGTTGGACTGGGCGGGACGGGTAGCATTTGGTTAATGAATGAATCAGGTTCATGCATTCATTCGAACAGCATTTATGGAGTGCCTAATATAAGCCAGGTGCCATGCTAGACACTACGATGGCCCCCATTAGACTGGAACAAATGGGGTTGAATTCCACTGAGGTGTGATGAGTTGTATTGGGATGGATTAGGGTTTGGAATCTGCCACCAACACTAGAGGTGTGACCTTTGTCATACTGGCAACCAAAAGACTTTACTAGTCTCAACTGTAGCTTCCTCTCCTGTAAATGGTGTGGTTTTCAGAATTAAAAGTGAATGAAGTTCTTTGCAGAGTGCCAGGCACATAGTGAGTACCCGATACATTTTAGGTACCATTTCTGTGGCTAGGGCTGCATCAGGAAAGGTGGGCTGGGGATGAGGGCTGGGTAGGATGGGATTGGGCATTCAGAGAGAAGGCTTGGTGTTAAAGTCTAGGAGCGGATGGGCTGGATTAGGTGGGGCTGGCGTTGGAATGGTTTGGATTGAGTGGGATTCCTAGAAAGGGGGTCCTGGGGAGCATTCCCTGGAGCTGGGGCTGACTCACCTACAGGTTGGCAAAGGATTTCATCATGGCTGAGGGAACATCGATGCAGAGACCCTGATGTCCTCTTGGTTCTAGGGCTGGTGACCAGGAGCCTGAGAGGGAGAGTGGACAGCAGAGCTGAGCTGGAGGCCACTCTCTTCTCCTCCCTGCCTGCCCAGGCACAGTCTTCCCATTCCAGGCCCGTAGGCCCACAGGCTCCCTGTCCAGCAGGCTGTGCAGAAGGCCCAGACCTGGGCAAGGCGGGCAGATTCCCAGCCCGGCACTACCGAGTCTGCAATACAGGGAAGACACTTGCTCAACCTCCACTTCTACACAGCTCCAGACGCAAAGGGTTAAAGCGACCCCTCTCTGCCAACAGAGATGGGGGTGATAGTGGTGGAGAATAAAGACTCTGTTCTCTTGTGGGGGTAGGGGTGGGGGAACCAGGAAGCCACCAGCAGCAGCGTTGGTTCTATTGGGGGCAGTGCTGGCTTCACTGGCGACAGCAGTTCCCGAGAAGAGCACACTGGTGCCGCTATGCTATGTGTCAGGCAGAACTGGAGGTTGGGGGTGGGTGCCTCAGGAGATGTGATTCCTGACTGCAAACTTCTTGTCCCCCACCCCAAGCCCAGACCAGGGGGACAACAGGGTCCAGTGTCAGCCTAAACATTCTCACTGTCCATGCTGCCCAGGGAGCGTCGGGCTGCCCTGAGACACAGAGAGTGAGCCCTGGGGGTGGAAGCAGGGGCTGGTGGGGAAGGGGACCCGAGCCTTGGTGGGAGCCGTGAACCAAGCCAAGATCTCTACGCTGAGGGCAGTAGGAAGCCACAGAGGACTTTACAAAGGGGAAGCACATGATTAGTGTCTGCTCTAATGTGGACGATGTGGCTGCGGTGAGCTGGGGGCCAGACGAGAGAGCACAGGGTGGGGGGCAGAAAGGAGGCACTGGCCCCACTTCCTCAACCCCCATCACTCTATGGCTTTTAAAATTATGAAGCATATTCACATACCTGCATGGTTTACAGAATAACAAAGTCTACACCTGTGCTTGCGCGCCCACCCACCCCAGCTGAACCCACCCCAAGCTGACTTCCGCCCTCTGCTTCAGCTCTTGTCAAGGTCAGCCGTGGTCCCCACGTCGCCAAATCCAATGGACCCCTTCTGCCCTCAACCTCTCAGCAGCCCTGAACAGTGACCATCTCCTCCTTGAAACTTTCTTGCGGACTTACTTCCCCTGCTCCCTCCTCACTCCTGCTCAGACTCCTTTGCTGTCTGGCCTTTAAATGCCGCCAGAGTCCTGGGGCTTGTCCTCGTCTTCCTTGCCAGCACACTCTCCCTAGTGACCCCTTCCAAGTCAATACACCTGTGGATGCTGAAATCCCACCTTTACCTCTGCAACCCCAGCACCCCCCCACCAACCCCGCCAGCCGTTAGACCAGCGTGGCTACAGCAAGCAGGATAACGCCCCCAGAAAAGGCCACATCCCAATCCCCAGAACTGTAAATATGTCATCTTTTATGGCAAAAGGGGCTTTTTAGATGTGGTTAAATTAAGGATTTTGAGATGGGGAGATTATCTTGGAGTATGTGGATGGGCCTAATGTTAGCACAAAGGGCCTTAAGAGTGAAGCATCACAAATCTTTCTCAAAGTCAGAGACAAACAAACAAACAAAAGATTTGAAGATGCTATGCTTCAGGCTTAAAGCCAGAGAAAGGCGCCACAAGCCAAGGAACGCAGGCAGCCTCTAGAAGCTGAAAAAGGCAAAAAATCAAACAAACAAAATCCCCAGATTCTCCCCTAGAGCTTCCAGAAGGAATACAGCCCTGCTGATGCCTTGATTTTAGGTCAGTAGGACCTGTTTCAGACCTCTGACCTCCAGAACTGTAAGATAATAAATTTGTGTTGTCGTAAGCCACTCAATTTGTGGTATCTTGTTATAGCAGCGACAGGAAACTAATGCAATAACCAACTGCCCACTGTCTAGTAGGCTTCTCAGACTCAGAACGTCTAAAACGGACCCTGTGGTCTTGTCCTCCCGAGCCTGCTCCTTCTCACCTTCCCCACAGCCACAAATGGCACCACCAACCCCTGAGTTCTAAAGCCCGAGGCCTGGGGAACATCCTTGCTTTGTCTTTCCACGCACCCCCTACATCCGACCCACAGCCAACCCTATTGGTTCTTTCTCCAAATTTTATCTAATGAGGATCTCTTCTCTCCGTTCTGCCTGCCCCCACCCTGGCCACCACCATCTTGCCGGTCTATGGTAATAGCCTCCTATTATTTTGCAGGGCTTATTTGGTTTTTAATTTACGCATGTGATTTACACCATGTCTTCGCCAACACTGGTGGCCTCAGTCCCTGGGACAGCCAGTCGCCAGCACTTTCCTGCCTCAGGCCCTCCGGCGTGCTGTTCCCTCCACCTGGAACCCTCCCCTCCCACTCTTATTCTCATCCCTGCACCTCACTCAACTGTCACCGCCTCAAAAATGCTTTCTCTAACCAGCCCCGCCTCACAACCCAGTTACTCTGCTTCGTGTCGCCATGTTTTATTTCCTTCTCAGAACGTGTCACCATCTGATAGTAACTTGTTTACTTATTTACTGGCTAATTACCCATCTCCCCCACTAGACAGTGAGTTCCCCAGGGATCCTCTTTCTTGTTCACTGTGTTATTCCCAGAGCCTGGAACAGAGCCCGGCACAGAGCAGGGACTCAGTGAATATTTGTTAAATGACTATTGAACGACAGCGCAGGCAAGAGTGAAGGGGGCTAACTGGGGCAGGGCTGAGGGGCGGAGGGCTGGTGCAGCTGAGATCTGCTCCTGGGTGCAGGCTCTGCAGGCTGAGCCCCCAAATTAGGTCACCTCCTCAGCAACCCTGCCTCTCTCCCCAGCCCGAGCCTCAGCCCTGGGCCCAGCACTCTGGTCCCTGCTCCCACACAAAGGGTGGACTCAGGACTGGGCTCCACCCCGAGCCACGTCTTGGTGGGGTAGGTGAGGCCTGGAGCAGCTTCTGCCCAAGCTGTTTCCTGACTGCAGCACCTGCCACCTCCTTCTCCTGCGGAACAATCATCCCAACACCAGCTCCTCAGGAAGCCTTCCCAAAGGAGGGTGCAACTCGATCCCCGCCCCAGGCCCTCTAGGCAGCCCTGACTATTGGGCCCTAACCCAGACTGTCAGATCCCAAGAGACCACCACGTACAGCTGTGCAGGTTGGGCACTGCAGATCCCCAGGACTGCCACTCATATCACAGTCATGTAATTACGTGGCCTGGACCCAGTCTGAGCTGTCTCTGCTCCCCACCCTTTGCCCCCCACAGCTGGTGGTCTCTAGGTTTGTTGACTGAGTAGCTGACAACCAACTAAACACTGACCAGGTGGGACAGAGTGAGTACAGGCCATCAGCCGATAGCCCCAGGGGCCCTGGTACACCCTGGGCTGGGTGCGGCCCCAGCACCCCTTGTCCTTCTCTGCCTTCACCTGGCTCTAGCCTGTCCCTGTTCTCAGAGCGGGGAGGGCTGCTTTATGTCCCACCTACCCACCCTGCGGCAGCCAAAGCCCGCGATGCTGCCAGCCCTGGTCTGTTATATCTTGGGGAGCAACAGTGTGAAGGAGTGAGGGGAACATGTCAGCCTCAAAGGGGATCCGAGCCCCTTCCTCTCTGTCTGGCCCAGAGCGGCCACCAGTGCACTTCCTGCCTCTGCCGCGGCGGTGGGCTCAGCCTCATCACCCACACGCACGGCAGGAACCCAGAAGTGCCTCCCACCACATCCTCCTCCCAGCACGTTCACACCCGTGAGCCCCCTCTCTGCCTCAGCAGGTGTTCAGCGAGGTTTTCCTGAGCCGAGCCGGGCTGTCCCCGCACCCACTGGCGGGCCCAGAGCCCTCTGTCCAGGGGCTTCACACTCCCTCATGCACCTTGGGCTTAGGCTTCTGAGGGAGGGGACGCTGAAGTCCGTGGGGCCTGGAGCGTGGGCGGGATCCACTGGGGTACGGGGAGCGGGGACTGGGAAGGAGACGTCACCAATAATTCAGACTGAAACCTGCTCCTCATGCGCGGCAAGCAGTTTGGAAAACTGAAGGCTGAGCCAACGCATCACGCAGGACGCAGCAATTGCGCTCCCGGGAGCGTGCCCGAGAGAAAGAAGTGCGCTCGTCCGCCTCAAGAGCGCGCACGGCGGTGCCGTTCGGCAGGGCCCAAGGAAACTGCGCGGGCGCCCTCACCAGTACTGGTCGCAGTGGAGATCTCTGGCGACGAGAAGGGGCGTTACTGCCTCAGGCGGCACAGTGGATGAAGTTCACAGACCTTATGTTGAGTGAGAGGAGCCAGGCACGACAGAGCACACACTGTGTGCCTTACAGAGACGACAGCCAGAGGGAGGATCCTCGTGGCAGGCGACGTGTCTGGATGGGAGCAGGGGACTTAGAGGGGCTTCTGTGAGGCTGCCAACGGCCTCTCCATCTGGATGCTGCTCACACGGGGGGTTCACTGTGTGCACAGCCACGGAGCCACATGCTTATGTCTGGGCATTGTTCTGTGTGGTGTATGTTAACAAAATTTTACCAAGACAAAACACAACAAACATTGACTTTTAATTCATCTTTCTGCAGCCAAAAGCTCCCTGACAACTTCACCACCCCTCCCCACTTCAAACCCTTCTGGCTCCTCCAAATTCTCAGCGCCGGGGTGACAAGCACCACCTGCCTCCCCCAGTTTATTTTTCATCACACTCAGCTTTAGCCACACGACACTTTCTCGGTTCCCTGACCTTACTCCGGCTGGCCTCCGGGCTTTCGACCAAGCTGTTCTCTCTGCTGGGACTTCCCTTTCCCACCCTTTCTCACGCTAACTCCCACTCACCCCGCAGTCCTAGAGTGATGCTGAAGAACACACCCGCCTCCATGTCCCCCCAGCATCCTGGATGTCCCCTATCGGAGCTGTCATCGCTCTTGTCATTGTCTGACTTGTGTGTTTCCCTCACAAGCCCAGGAGCTCCATGAGGGTAGTGGCCATGTCTCCTTCACCCTCTTATTCCCCGACATTGCCCGGCACTGAGTAGATCCTGCATAAACACTTGCTGAATGAATGAACGAATCGGCCCTGGCCGTACCTCTGAAATCTAATGGTGACTAGACTGTTCACCGTACAGATGAAGAAACCAGGCCAGGTGCGGTGGCTCACGCCTGTAATCCTAGCACTCTGGGAGGCCGAGGAGGGAGGATCACTTGAGCTCTGGAGTTTGAGACCAGCATGAGCAAGAGTGAGACCACGTCTCCACTAAAAATAGTAAAAATTAGCTGGTTGTGGTGGCACACGCCTGTAGTCCCAGCTATTAGGGAGACTGAGGCAGGAGGATCGCTTGAGCCCAGGTGTTTGAGGTTGCTGTGAGCCAGGCTGACACCACGGCACTCTAGCCCAGGTGACAGAGCGAGACTCTGTCTCAAAAAAAAACAAAAACAGAAACAACAAAACCAACAACAAAACCAAAACAAAACAAAACAAAAAACAGATAAAGAACCCAAGGTCCAGAAAGGGGTCTCTGATGATGTAGGAAAAGTCAAACTCAGTTTCTCCTATACTCTCACAACGCACAATACTTCTGTGACCCCAGGCATGGGGGGGTTTCCCCCACACACCAAGCACGTAGTCCTTCAGCTGCCAGCACCAGCTGGGCGTCCTCTAGTTCAGTGCAATTCTGACACTGTCTACCTGGAGGTAGCCTCAGATCCCACTGGTTGAGGGCTCAGTCCCACAAGACTGTCCCCCACTTCTGATGCCAATTGCAAGCCCCAGGTAGTTTTACCTGTGCTCCCTACTGACCAGCTGTATACCAGGGTTCCCATGACCCCCTTCTTGGGTTTGATTAATTTGCTAGAGTGGCTCCCAGAACCCAGGGAAATACTTACTTATGCTTACTGGTTTCTTAATAAGAATATTACAAAGGAAGAGATGCATAAGGCAAAGTATGGGGGAGGAATCTTCCATGCTCTCTCTGTGTGCACCGCCCTTCAGGAATCCCCATGTGACCTGCTATGCGAGGCTCTCCAAACCCTGTCTTTTTGCGTTTCTATGGAGGCTTCATTACATAGGCATAATTGATTAAATCATTGGCTATTGGTGATCAACTTAACCTTCGGCCCCTCTCTGTTCACCAGAGGTTGGAGGAGGCTGAAAGTCCCAGCCCTCTAATCCTGCCTGGGTCTTCCCAGTGACCAGCCCCCATCCTAAAGCTACCTAGGGGCTGCCAGCCACCAGTCAACTCATCAGCATACAAAAAGACATTTATTGCTTTGGAGATGCCAAGAATTTTAGGAGTTATATACCAGAAAATAGGACCAAATATATATTTCAAGACCAAATACATATTTATTTGTGATATTGTGAAATATATACTTGTTCTTAAAATATCAAATATATATGTCACAGTGTCCCAGGGTCCAAGCCTGCTTGGCTGGAGGGATCATGGCCCAAGTCTCAGGGCCTATGAGGCTGCCTCAGAAGCCACCACTGCCCACCCATCCTCCACCAAACGGGGATTCTGCTCTGCTCAGCGGGAACTCTGAGCGCCCCACCTGGCTGTGCCCCAAAACCTGTGTGGCCCCTGGGCTCACTTGCTCATGCATGCTGGGTGTGAAGGAAGCCCTTGACCATGCAGGGACCAGAAGCAAAGCAGTGGGGTCAAGTGGGGACACAACCATCCTGGGGCTGGGCCCAGTGGCTGAGCAAACATAGAAAAAACCCTATGACCACCAGGAAAAACAGGGGGCAGGGGGAGGAATGACTGCTGTAGATTACAATAGGTGAAAGAGACACAGCAATACGCATGAACTTTGACCAGATCCTGGCTTTAAAACAACACAGCTCTAAAAGTCATTTTGGCATCAACAAGAGAAATTGAAATGAGTCTTGGATGAGCCTTCACTTCAGAGCTTCTCCTAACTAAAGACGTGCTCCTGCGTCAGTGAGCCACCATGATCACCACCAGATAGAATATGCGCTTCACCCATTTGTGTCATCTGCCTCCCCTGGCCAACACCGAAGCTCCCTGAGCCCAGGGACTTTTGTTTGTAGCCTGCTCACAGCTGCATCCGCAGGGCCTGGCACAGGGCAGGCACTCCACAAATATTTGTTGAGTGAATAATCATCGTATACACAATTCAACGACCTGCCTTTTTCATCACACAGTACATTTCGAGATGGATCCAGGTTAAAAATCATTCATTGACCTGCTTTTAGTATTGCATTGTATGATTCACGCCTTATTTTTCCCATTTTCCTAATAATGCATAATATCTTCAGACTTTCACTATTCCAAGCAATGTGACAATAAACATTTTTACACGCGTCTGAGAATTTCTTTAGAGTTGGTATCTGGGAGTGGAATTGCTGAGTCAAAGGCCACATGCATCCCCAGCTTTACCAGATATGGCAACGTTGCTCTCCAAGGTGGTGAGGTCGATTTACACCCCACACGCTCCTCGTTTCACCACATCCTTACCAGCACTGTGTGGTCAGAGTCCACATTTTCTGCCTGTCTAATGGGTGGGTACAGATGGTATTTGTAAAATATAAGGTGAAGTTTATTGAGCATTCACTTGGCCAGAAACTGTGCTTTTATGTGCATTATCTCAGTCTTTGCAACAAGCCTGTGAGGTAGGTAAGTCACCACCCTCATGGTAGAAAGGAGAAACTGAGGCTCAGGGTTGGGCGCCTTGCTGAGGTTGCGCAGCAAATACAGAGTGAAGCTGTCATTGAACCACGACCACCAGAACAGCCTGACTCTTCACCACTTCTGTCTGGTGCCTCACAGTTTCAATTTTTTCTTTGTTATTTTTGTGTCCACATTTTCTATATTGAGCGTGAGTTACTTTTGTAAGAGGCAAAACTTTATTTAAAAGAATTTTTAGGTCCCCCCTCCCCCCAGGCAGTGGAGCGGGGACAGACCCGGTGAGGGGAGGGCCCAGGGCTCCGTGGACTGCACAGACTGGCCTGGTGCTCACAGCCCCTCACGCCATCTCTCTGTCTCCGGCACGCCCTTCTGAAGGAGAAAAGAGCTCTCCCCAGACTGCGGGGTGGCGTCCCGGGGCCTTCTCCGGGGCCATCTCAGGCTCCGGGGAGCCCCCTCAGTCCTCAGGCCCCCTGCCAGCAGGGCCCCACTCACCAGGTCCGGTTGGTGCTGGGGTCTTGGTGCAGAAGGGAGCTGAGCACAAAAGGTGCCCCTCCCTCGGACGTGACCCAGGGTCGGGACTCATCCACGTTGAAGGGCACCACGGGGGCCAGGCCTGTGGGGAAAAGAGGAACATTTGATGAAAGAGGCCTTTTACTGCCATTCTTCCGTCAAATCCTGCGGTGTCGTTAACCCTGTCCTATGGCTGATAAAAGTGAGACTCCACAAGGGTCTTACAGGACTGGACACAAGTGTACCCGATCCAGAGCCTCTCATCCTCCTGCTAAACCAAGCTGGGCGGCACCCGAGCCCCCTCCTCCGGGAGGCTTTCCCGGGCTCTCCCACCTCCTCGCCCCTCCTACTGCCACTTTCTGTACCTATCACATAGCCCATGCTCATCACTGTGTCTAGTACCAAAGTTGGAGCAGACCATGAGCCCCAGGGAGGGCCGGCACACATCCCATCTATGTACACCTGCAAGTGACCCGAAAGAAAACACATGTCCTCAAAAACACCTGTGTCTCAAGTTGACTGATGAGGAGCCAGGGAAAAAAATGTCTGTGCAGAATGTTTTACGGCGGCTTTACTCATAACAGCTCCAACCTGGAAATAACCCAAATGCCCATCAGCGGGAGAATGGATAAGCTAACTCCGGTGTAGTCACAATAGAATCCTACTCAGGGGGAAAGAAATGAGCGACTGACACACAGCAACAGGGTGAGTCTCAAAAATCATTATGCTGACCGAAAGAAGCCTTCTAAAAAGCGTATCTACTGTATAATTCCATTTAGATGATGTTCTGGAACCAGCAAAACTAATCTATTATTGCTTGGGGGGATGGGAATTAACCAGGAAAGGACTAGAAGGAACTTTCTGGGGTGATGGAAATATCCTACGGCTTGATAGGAGTTTGGATTACAAAGGTGTGGGCATTTGTCAAAACACACTGAATGGTCCACTTAGAATTTGTGTATTTCAACCGGGTGTGGTGGCTGACACCTGTAATCCTAGTGCTCTGGGAGGCCAAGGCGGGAGGATCCCTTGAGGTCAGGAGTTCGACACCAGCCTGAACAAGAGCAAGACCCCATCTCTACTAAAAATAGAAAAAATTAGCTGGGCATGGTAGTATGTGCCTGTAGTCCCAGCTACTCGGGAGGCTGAGGCAGGAGGATCGCTTGAGACCAGAAGTTTGAGGTTGCTGTGAGCTATGATGACATCACTGCACTGTCCTTGGGGCAACAGAGGAGACTCTGTTTCAGAAAAAAAAAAAATTTGTGCATATCACTGTATGTAAATGTTACCGTAAAAAAAAGAACCATAAACAAATTTTAAACTCTAGTTGATATGTGTATGCTGAAATGTTTAGGTTTGAAATATACTGATGCCTGCAAATTACTTTGATATGAATCAGAATATAAGATGGTTGGATGGATGGATAGTTGTGATAAAGCAAATACTAAAAAATGTTCACAATTTTAAAATCTAAGAGTGGTATTGGTTGTCCACTGTACAATTTTTCAACCTTTCTGTATATTTGAAAGCCTCCATGAAAAATGGGGAAGATTGATATTGACAGATTGCCCCCCAAAGAGGCGGTGCCAATTCACACTCCAACAACAGGATGGGAGAAGGTTCATTTCCCCACAACGTGGCCTGAACCGACTGCAGACCTTTCGTCTTTGTTTTAAGAATGTCCCATCATCTTGTTCCAAAACTATTTTTTCTTTTTTAATTGAGAGTGAGGTCAAGTCTCTTTTTATAAATTCGTTTACTGCCTATTCGTGTGTATTATCCATTTTTATGAACAAGTATTGACTGTTTTCTTGTTCATTTGTAAGAGCTTTTCCCTATCCAAAAGAGGTAGCAATGTGTGACGGATATTGTTTCTCACTTGGCTGTTTGTTATTTGACTCACATATGATAGTTTTCCCGCACCTACATTTTTTATGCAAATCGTTGTTCCTTTATGACTCTTGAGTTTTGTGTCATGCTTCCCCGCTCAGAGATTTTTTTTTTAAATTCATACGTTTCCTTCAATATTTTTTTCTTGTTTCATTTTTCTTACACTTGAATCTTTGGTCCATCTGGATTTTATTTTTATGTATGGAGTGAAATAGAGGTCCAACCAACTTTACTTTTTTCCCCCAAATGAAATTGTCTCAACAGTATTTCTTGAATAGTTCCTCTTATTCCCATAGATTTGAAACGCTACCTTTATCTTACTCAGAAGGCTCATGCGCCCTTGGGCCTCTGTCGGCACTCGGTTCTGCCCCACTAACCTCATTGCCTCTCGCTTGGACGCGTTAGTTTCCTGGCCTTTCTTTGTCAAGACTTGTACCTCTGGATACATCCTCTCCACACCAGCCGACAGAAAGGTTTTTTAAAAGCGTCGTCTGACCGTGCCACCCCACTGCTTAAAACTCTAATGTATATTTACATGGGAAAAAAGAAAGGTGAAGTTCAGTTTATAGACTTACTTGTTCGATTACTGTTCAATTAATGACTTTTTGCCATAATGGCTCTTGAAAAGTTATACCACTTTTTGGCAACACTCCTTTTTTTGGTATAATGACTTTTTCATATCCAAACATGCTAAATAAATATTCTGTGGGGGATTATACTTGACATCACACTATCAGGCAAAAACACACTCACCAATTTACTTACTATAACAGTTTCTAGTTCAACAGTATCTTATGGAACAAATCTGTATTGCATGTCATGTTTGGATAAACCCCGAAAGCTTTGTTTTGCATATGTATGCCAAATAAGAGGGCTGAAGATTCTGTGATCCCGCAGACTGTTGAGTGCACAAGCTATTTTTCTGTATTTTAGAGTGTTTTCAGGTTTAGTATTTATTTTGTCCTCGAGATATTTTTCTGTGCTATAACTTATTTTTAAAGGTTGAGGAGTAATTACTCTGTGATTTTCCCCATGGGCATGGAAAATAAAACTTTCTCTTATTAAAATGAAACAAAACAAAAAAACGGTTGAGTGCAAGATAGCCAGGAGCCCCCCAAAAAGTTGAAAAAACAATGAAGAAACAGTGTAGAAAGAAAAATGTACCTTCTTATAAACAAACCCCTCACATTCATCCTCCACCACCCACTGTCAAGTCTTGTCTTCCTCCTTTAATGAAGAAAATAAACTTCATTACAATAAATTGCATATGTAAACTGTATTTTTATATTCAAATTACTGTTTTTATTTATATAAACTTGTTTTATGGGTCAATTAATACATTTTCCTATCAGTAAAAATTGTTTGGGTGTCTTTGGTTGGATGGAATACATCACAATTTTTCTACTGAAATTGATGAAAATGTTTTTTCCAATTAATGACTTTTCCCTTAGCAGTAGAGATTTCCAGGAACAAATCAAAATCATTATGTGAAGGACAAGTTTATAAACTATACTAACTTTTGTATAAGGAAGAGGAGGAAGTATACACACACAAACATGGTTTTCATTCACTAGGAAGACATAACAATTTAAAATCTGTATGTATGCAATAACATCACTTCGAATATATAAATTGACTGAATTAGAAGGAAAAATATAAAACACCACAACTAAAGTAGAAGACTTTAATGCTTTAACACACCCTTTCTGTTAGCTATAAAAATCAGTAAGGACACAGATCTGAACAACACATTTAACAAGCTTCACCTGATTGACAAACAAAATTCTACCCATCAATGGTAAAATAAACATTTTTTTTCTAGCACACATGAAACATTTCCCAAAATTGATCATATGCTGGGTCACAAAGCAAGCCTCAATAAATATCTATGGATTGAAATAATTCAGAATATGTTCTCTGACCATAATGGAATTAAAATCAATATCAAAAAACCCCAAAAATAACAAAAAGAAAACTAGAAAAATCCAAACTTCTTGGAAATCAAGCAATGCAGTTCTAAATAACTCAAGGTCAAAGAGGAAATCACAATGAAGAATCTAAAAAATTTTGAATGAGAATTAAGATATGACAAATCAAAACTTGTGGGATAAGTTAAAGCAGTGCTTAGAGGAAATGTGCAGCCTAAAATGCATAAGTTAAAGAAGAAGAAAGGCTGAAAATCAATTATCTAAGCTTCCGTCTCAAAAAGCTAAAAAAATGGCAAATCAGACCCAAAGGAAGTACAGGAAGCATGTGAACATATATCAAGATACAAACATATATCAATGAAATATGAAACTAACTTAGGGAAAATTAACAATGCTGAAGTTTGTTTTTTGAAAAGATTTTAAAAACGGATAAACCTCTGGCAATATTAAACAAGAAAAAAAAGACAGAACACACAAATCACCAACATGAATAACATAGGGACATCATAACAGATCCTAAGACAGTCAAAAAATAATGTGATGATATTATATCCAACTTTATGCCAGTATATTTGACAATTTGGATGAAATGGACAAATTCCTTAAAATAAAAATTTACCAAAACTAACAAAAGAAGAAATCTATAACCTGAATAAGAGATTTAATCCATTCCTAAAAACCTTAGGAAGAACTCTAGGCCCAGAAAGTTTTGCTGGTGAATTCCTACAAGCATTTAAAGAAGAAACAATACCAAATTTACACATACTGTTCCAGAGGATAGAAAATGAGAGAACACTCTCCAATAATTTTATGCGACCAACATAACATTGATATTAAAACCTGACAAGAGCAATAAATGAAAGTGAAATTGACAATCTCTCTCCCTCTTGAACATAAATGCAAGAATGCTAAACAAAATATTAGTAAGTTTAAATTGAGGGAAATATAAAAAGCATAATACTTCACAACCAATGGAGCTTATTTCAGGAATGCAAGAGTGGTTTGACTTTTGAAAATAATCAATGTATTCATTGCATTAACAGGGAAAAAAGGAGAAAAAAAATCATACGATCATTATGATAGATGCAGAAAAAGGCATCTGATGAAATCTGATACTAATTTGTGATAAAAATTCTTAGTAAACTAGGAATAGAAGGGAATTTCCTTAATCTGATAAAGAATACACACACAAAAAAAATCTTCAGCAAATTTCATTCTATTTGTTTTAGGAGGCAAGGTCTCACTGTGTTGCCCAGACTGGACTTAAACTCCTGGGCATAAGCAA